TATTTCTGTCTCTCATATCTTATGCTTTAATAGTCATTTCTCAAGGAGACTATCATATAATAATTATAATTGCATCGTTATATACAAATATCATAAATAATATATTTCTACAGTTCTTAGCAAATTTTTGTTTATAATTGATCAAATATAACTTAGAAAATTACTTGGAATATTTTTAGGTATTATTTTTAAAATTGTTCAAATTATTTGCAATAATAAAATAATAACTTCATTTAATATTATAATTAAACATTGGAATATAATGATATTAATACATAATAATAATCATCATATTATAAAAATAATAATTGTCATAACATCAATAACGGTTTTATTTTTAATAAAAAATTTTATTTCTGTTTCACCTCATGCAGGATGATATGTCATTGGTAAAATTTTTAAATATATTTGTTATCCGTTAGCTTAATGGTTTATTATTGTTATATTTATTATAACAACAGTGAATGTAAAAAATTAGTAATTCGACTCAACTATGTTCAATTGTTTTTTTGAAACATTTTTCTAAGTCCAGATAACGTAAGTAAAGAATATCAAAATTATCAACATAAATTCCTAAAGATATTGATAAATTGTAAAAGTTTTAGTACTGCATTGAATTAAAAATAATTTATTCAATTATTGTAAAATATTTTCAAAATTAAGGATAAATTAAAGAACAGTTGAATAAAAATCAAAAGAAAATTAATAGATACTTACTTAAAGTCGTTTTAAAAAATTAAATGATTTACTAGCACAATTATAATTAATTTCATCGATTATTTCATTGGAAATGTTATTTTTTTCTTTTAAGTAACAGATTATAAATTATCTATTTCTAAATTTACTATAAATATTTTATAATAGACTTCAAAGTCTTATATTTATTAAATATCATTCATAAATTAAAATTATGTATTTGTAAAAATTCATATTTTGAACAAGTTTTTCTATTTTCTACCTATAAATAAATATTTTACTTAAATAAGAAATACGCTCATATAAAATATGTTAATTGCGATTCATTAATAATGAAGAATAATTTCACAACGTCGTTCAATCATTTAAATATTCATTAAACCGATAATAAAATCGAGAAACTAACGAAATTTGACAAATAAGAAAACAATATTTGAATATAATATTAAATATAATTTATATTCATGCATTGTATGTAGAATAATATTTTTAGACGTATAGACGTAAAAATAGTGATATCAACTGAAATGAAAAACTATGTTTATATTAACTTTATGAAATTTAATTCAAATAGCATTAAAAAAATTATACATATATATACAAATCGATTGGATTTGTTAATTATAAAAATTATATATTTTTTAATAAGTTCATTATAATGATAAAATATTTTAAAGACTAAAGTCATTAAAAAGTTCCGTCTTCAATTTTTCAATAAAAATCAATAAATTAAATTATAAATGTAAATGAAAGAAAATATAAAAGTTCGTGTAATAACAGTAAAAATGAATAATTCGTATTTCTATTATTTTAGTTCTATTATGTAAAGGAAGAATAAAAGAATTAATGATTGAATTGCAATTTCAGTTTTACTAATTAACGCTTACGTGCGAATGTCTAATTAAAAAGTGTTTCCTTCAATTTTACAATATTTAGAAACTGTTTTCCTTACAACATCACTGAAAAATATCGTCAAAGCACTCGTATGGCTTTAGTGTTTTTAATATGAAAAATTTATTATATTTTAACCAATAATTAAAAAACAAAGGAAAAAAAAAATACTTTTATAAAATATGTTGAAATTTATATAATAAATGCTAATAGTTTTTTTTTTTTTTAACGGCTATCTCTTATTTATAGAAATCTGATCGAATTAAGTGTTATCCTAAATGCTCGAATAACAATGAATTTGTTACAATAGATAAGATATACTCGATATATGAATTGAATTGTTTATAACCATATACATTATATTTGTTAATACAATAAATTAATTGTCAGATAAGATAACTGCTCATGCATTCTCAGCAACTGACACTTTTTTGAATAGAAAGCACGTTATAATAAGTTTTCCTATCTCTCTTACGTTCGCTTCTGTCTGTCTAATTATTTGTCCATGCCTCTACATCCAAATACCTTACTCATACTCCCCTAGAATATAACGATAACGCAATCTATGACAAATTGAACTATCACAATGGAATATCATTGATAATTCTATCGTTCGAAATAATCCCTATTGTGCTCTCTCTCTCTCTCTCTCTCTCTCTCTCTCTCTCCCTTACCTCCCGTTTAATCATATCTTTCTCTTCAGTCATCCTCTCTTTTGTCCAGTCGATTGTCGATTATCGTCGTTCGTGACCAAGTTGTAGGATCAAATAGTCCGCTCCACTACAAACATCAACACAAACAAAGCGCAGTAGGCATGATGACATGACCTTAGGCTTCCGAGATTGTCGTTTGTGCAGAAAGTGAGGTTATGTTTTGCCACCTCCCAGAGCAGCACAGGGTACTTTACGTTAGCGATATGTATGTGCTTGTAGAGGTGCAACTTTCTTTTGCGCGAATGAAATGGTGGGGAATACTCGATCGATCGGTCTCACGACGTGTACTGGAAATACTTCTTTTCAACGGTTGAGTAAAAGGTTAGCAGTTTACAATGTGCTTATTGCGAAATATTTATTGCGTTATCTTCTAGCGATTGCTTTAAAATACGGTGAAGGGATTGTCGATAAATATGCGTCAAGAATATGAGTCTATTTATCCGGTGCTCTATATTATATATTCATGAGTTTTATAGTGTTTTATAATAGTTTTGATACAGTTGGCAGATTTTTTAAAACTTTTAACAGTCGGATTGTCAATATCTGAATAATTGTGTTTTACAACAGTGTTTTTATGGATTAACTTGTAATTTAATAAAACGTTAGTTGTCATCGTTATGCTTATAAATAGTCAAAAAAGTGGAGAAAATATTGAATTTAATTAATAAGTATAATAATTAGTTAATTTAAGTAGGTTTGGATAAAATTATACTTCACGTTGTGTAATAACTTAATAATGATGCTTGCCATATTTTTATCTATTTATTTAAACATTGCAAAAGTTGAAAATTATACTGACTATTTAAATCATTCGATTGGGAAATAAATTTAATTAAGCCTTACAGTGGTTGATTTCAAAGCTGGCAGATATATTATGTTTTGTATAATCAAATGATTTTTATTAACTCGATAGTTCATTTTTAAAGTGCAATTGAATAACAAAAATTACTTTATCCATTTAAACAGGTAAATACACTAGCCCACTCTAGCAGAAATTGTCTCAGGAATAGACCCATGTGATCTACTATACAGGAGGTATAGAGAAAGGGAAAGAGCAAGAAAGAAAACACAGAGAGGAAGCTTGGGAAGTGGAAAAGGGAGAAGGGAGAATAGGAGGGCGGGAGGGAGAGAGAGAGAGAGAGAAAGATGTGAATGGCACCTTGTTCAAATCCTACAATGGTACCAAGGCTGCCAGTTTGCGATGACGAGTCATGTGTTATCAGGTGGTTGCCACTCTATAGACACCAGATAAAATTATGTTTAATCAGTATCAGTGTTGTCGTCATATGGTAAAGGTAAGAATACTAGCGCTTATAAACAATTATTCTTATAAGTATTCTGTACTTTTTTTATTTTAATAAACTATATATATTTAATAAGCCTCCTATTTATTGTATATTACTCTATTAGATATAATGTACTTGGTACTAATGATAATTATTAACTTGAAATCTTAAGGACCTAGACATAATATCACAATTATTTATACGATTTACAATCATTATATAAATCTTATTTAACGAGTTGTAGTTATAATACATCGTTAATAGTGCTTTACAAAATTAACTAATTAAAATAAAAATAAATATTGCAAAAAATTGTGCATTTGAATTTATGACATTAAAGTTTTATTTTTTTAAAAATATCTTTTATTTTTAGGCACATGTACCTTTTATATTGATTTATTTATTAGCTTAATATATATATATGTATGCATTAATTCTTAAAGTATTAAATTAGATTATGACTGCTTATAATTTTGTAATATACGTTAAATTGAAAAAAATCTATTTAAAATTTTAATTTGTATCTGAGCATGAATAAGGCAAACTTGTTATTGAGCTTTAAACTACTTTTAATAGAAGACTATAAAATGCAATCATTTGAATGAATTTTTTGTCCTAAATGCGTTTATTCTTAAATTGACAAAATTTGAATAGTATGATGTATAAAAGAATTAGCTTGATTAATATTTTTTATTATTTAAATAAAAAATCATTTTACTTTAAAAGGGAAAAGTGTTGTGTATTTTTATTTCTATAATATTATCAATACTAATTACTTGAAGCCATTTTATTGTGAATATTTAATCATTACATTTATTTAACAAGAAGTGAGATTATTTTAAATTACTTTTTAATAAAATTTGATAATATAATGAAAAGATGTAATGAATAGATATTGAATTTTATAAGAACATTCTCTTATACCTCAGTAAACCCTGATAAACTTTTTCATAATTAATAAATTTTTAATGTCATTAAAAGTTTTCTTTTGTATGATCCATAATTTTATTAACATTAAAATTCTTTTTATTTCAATTTTATTTTAAAATCCCATGTGTTACATTAAAAGAATATATTTTAACTACATTTGCTTAATTTATTTTTAACAACAACTTTTTCAAAGTCTGAGTAATTAATTTAACCACTGTTGTTCTTTTCTATATAAAATTGAAATTTATTTAGTAATTACTGTATCATGCATTTTATAAAAGTAACAAATAAGTTCTTAATATGAAGATATAAAATATAAACATTCAAATGAAATTTCAATGATTCATTAATTCAAGGCTCGTTAAATTAGTTCATATTAAACTCAATTTATTCAATGAATTCTATTAGTTATTAATGAAGAATTTATCTTTCTTTTGTTTAATAGAAATTAATATTAAAAAGTTTCTCCTGTTTAAGAAGAAAACAAATTTAATTGAGGTAATTATTAATATGTGGATATCAAATTCAAGATGAATTGGATGTGATCTTTGATAATAAAAATAATTTCAATATTACAAAACTTTGATATTTAATTTACAATTAAGCACTTGAAACTTTTTGAGTATTATTTTTTTAAAGGTACATAGAATAAAGGTTTTTCTAAAAAATAATAAATATACAACTTATTCTTAAATAAATAAAAAAATTCATCCGACAATTATAATTAAAAATATAGGTTTACAAATAGAAATGGAATCTATTATGATAGAACCACATTTGGATATTTGTGTTGATGAAAATGATATAATTTCTGGTGCTAAAGAAATTGTGAAGCACTTGCGACCTTCTTGGCCCAGTGATCAACTGCTATATAAGGTAAAACTAATATTACATAGTTAATAGAAATGAATAAATAATAAACAATTCTTGTATAAGTATGAGTAAAATAAATACAGTTAATTGAACATTTGTATTCCTAGGTTTTTACAAATGGAATATCCAATAAATTGGTAGGAATTTGGTATGCAAATAATTACAATAAAATGGTGCTAGTTCGAGTTTACGGGCACAAAACCGATTTACTTATTGATCGACAGGAAGAAATTAGGAATATAAGAGTATGATATGTTATGTAACTTTTAAATTGTGATAATATGAATGTTTTCATTTAACATTATTTTATTAATAACTATTGTACATTGCAATATATAAATATAATAAATTATGAAAGGAGTTAAATTGTTGAAAACGTTTTATTATTACTATTTAAAAAATTACATTTTTCTGATCCTAATGTGCTAAGATACTTATTTTATAATATAGATATTGCACAAAGCAGGACATACACATTCCATTTATGCTACATTCAATAATGGATTAGCTTACGAATTTGTTGAAGGTTATACACTAACGGTTGAAACTGTAAGAGAAATAGATGTATATAAGCTAGTAGCTAAGCGTATGGCTGAAATGCATTTACTGCAACCTACATCTGATGTAAGTGAAGATACACCCGTAATTTGGCAAAAAACTGAAAAATTCATGAGACTTATGCCGAAACAGTTCGATGATGTTGATAAACAAATAAAGTAAGCTAATGCTTCTCTAATTATTTCCAATTTATTATTTCAACTAATTAAGATGAATATTGTTAATCGATTATGATAAAAAGAATAAATTTTATAATATTAATAGAAACAAATTATCTATTTAGATTTGAAAAATTAATAAAACCACATGATACTTTAGTTTACGAATATAAGATATTGAAGGATAATCTGTCACAACTGGCTTCTCCTGTAGTATTTTGTCATAATGATTTACTATTAACCAATATATTATATAATCAAAAAGAAAATAAAGTTACATTCATAGATTTTGAATACGCTGCATATAATATTCAAGCCTTTGATATAGCAAATCATTTTGCAGAGTTTGCAGGTAATTTTAAATATAAAGTTATTTGAGAATAAATGAAACTCTTATTTTTATGTATTAATATTGTAATTGTAAAACTTATATCACAATTTTTTCATTAAAATTTCTATATTAAATTGGCTATTATTATAATTCAAAACGAATATCATTTTTAAGTTTAATTATTAATTTTGATCAAAAGGAGTTGAAAATCCAGATTTTTCTTTATATCCTGATGAAGAACTACAAAAATCATGGTTGAGAATATATTTAGAAACTTACAAAAATACTAGCGAAATATCCGAAGAAGATGTGACCGAATTATATAAACAAGTTAACCAATTTGTACTTCTTGCTCATTTCTTTTGGGGTTGTTGGGCTCTTATACAAAGTCAATATTCTCTTATTGAATTTGACTTCTTAGAGTAAGTATGTTAAGTTTAAGTAGAATATTCAATTTAGTTTAACTAAGATTTTTATTTTATAAATACAATCTTTAAAATATATATGTTATATATCTCTATATATAAACGTAACTGGTATACTTATTTAGAATTTAAAAATGGGGTAAATACAACATATAGTAAATGATTTAATTTTTTACCATCGCATACACTTGAAAATTTTAAACAAGAGTTATTGCATTTGACAATTATTTGTAAAAAAAAATTGGAATAAATCTTTTAGACAATAAATTAAAAATTTTATTTAGAAAAAAATTGAAATATAACATTCAACAAGAAAAATGATATATAATGATTTCTAAATACATAAATGTTTTTAATTATAGATATGCGGCTCTTCGACTAAATGAATATTTCAGAAAAAAACAAGCCAATCATATGAGTGATAATGGTATTAGGAATATTTAAATTTTGAATTTTTGAATTTTAATTGAAATTTTCTATCGCCAAAGATATATTGTATTATGTATGTAGATGATCGATCGACAATAATTATTAAATGCTTTAGGATTCTTAGCTCCAATGTATAGTTATTTAATACTCGCGTCGTTATTGCGGATCTATCCTATACTTGCGGGTATGTTGATATAAATGGGCAGCCGAAGATGGGAGAAAGTAAGAGACAGAGAGAGAGAGAGAGAGAGAGAGAGAGAGACAGACAGACAGAGATATAGCAAAAAAAACTTCTTTCATTAAAAGAATCTATAGAATTTTATTATACAAATATGAATTCGTAAACTTCATATCTTATTTATTTGTATGCAAGTTTCTTTGCCAGAAGATCTCTTAGATAAACATTACTACCTCACATTGATGTCATCCATTTCAATTATTTCAAAACTTACATATCTAATTTCTAATCAACTAACTTCATTGAACCAACAATTATTAAAAATTGAGAGGTTTTTGTTGCTCCAAGATTTAATATTTCAATCCATGTATATTACAGAATATGGATGCCAACTCAGTTGTTGATGACCTAGATTGTAAATAATATAATATATTCTAGAAATGATTCTAGAACGATCTCATCTACACGTTCCACATAGGGTAGTTCCGTAAATTGAGGGGAGTGAAAAATAACTGCGTATCGATGCTGCCATGTGTATGTTAACTATTTTGTTATCATAATACATTAAACACGCGGGCGTGCAATATAAAAAAAAATTTATGATATTATTTTTGAAAGGTATACTTGTAAATAATGAAAAATATGATGTGGTAGTTCTACTTATAGTGCGCTACAAAAAGTGTTACATAATGTAAAAAATGTAATATAGAAATGTAATATCAGAACTGTTATTGAATTTGTTATTAAACTTATTGGCACGTTACATTATTTTTTCGTTATTTAATCTAAATTTTATTACAGTTCTTAAATGTTACAAATTTTTATAATCAATTTATCATTGTGTGCGTGTGCGTGCGGATTTCGCGCACTCATGTGTATAATATATATTTATGTTTATTAAAAACATTTTTATTTTTCTAATCTACATTTTAAAAATTAGATAAAAAATTGATAAAACCAATTTAGAACGAGCGAGTTTAATAAGTCACATAATTATCAAATAAATATCTATGAACATAAATCATGAAAATATAGAAAATAATAAAGAAAATATAAAGATTAAAATATATATAATTTAATGTGGATACTGGTGCTTGATAACTCTTTGCAATTTACCAATTTCTTAAATAATAAACGGCCGTGTTTATACGGCCATTTTATTATTTAATCTAACATTCTAATTAATATTAATGATATTGTAATAGTAAATTTCGTACATCTCAATATATATGCATTCACCTTTTAAAATGTATAAATGATAAATATAAGTCCATTAGCTTAATTTTATTACGTACTCCTTAAATATGCAGTTAATAAAAATATCGAAATTGATATTTCGAAACGGCGAGCTTACAATTAATTCTGAAATTTGTTCGTTTATACTTGTAATCTATTTAAATTTATTTACAATATTTTTTAATACACTTTTATGACTAATACTTTCGATAATTGTAATATTGTAATAGAAAGCAATGATGAGTAATTTAAAAATAATGATTGAACTGAAAGTGTAAAAATTCATTAAATATAAATAGAACTACAAGAATCATATTACAAATAATGAAAATGTTATCATTCTTGCAAAGTATTTGATAGATTCAATATGTGGATGTTACGGAAAATAATTTTATTAAGTAAATAATAGCTTATAGACGTATTAAACTGGATTTTGAAAAATATTTCCATTCCAATAGTATGTAAAAAATTGTTCTTATTCTTTGTAATTATTGTATATAATGCATAAATTCAATAATCTGTGATCAACGATTATTTTGTTATTTTTATTCCTACCTCAAATATATTAAAAATAAGTATATCTGTACAGAGAGAGAGAGAGAGAGAGAGAGAGAGAGAGAGAGAGAGAGAGAGAGAGAGAATATGAACAATGCTCAATGCTCTTAGCAATAGTCAGAAAAGTATGAGTAATTCTAATAATTAAATTAAAAAGTCAAGAGTGAGGTACAATAAGTATGATCATGATTCAGTGTTTACCTATGATTTAGAAAATTTAACGAGCTCATCTAACGAATGACAATTTCTTTTTCGTAAATGTTCCTATACATTCTATATAATTTCGATACCTTGTAGAATATATGCAAGAATATGAGGTTTCCAAGTTGGCTGTACCTGCTAGTATTTAAAGGAAAAAAGAGAAATCGGTTGATAGAATGAGCTGCATTAACATAGTATATAAATATAAAGACCAAATTCGAATTATATTTAACACGACAGGTTTGAGTGTAGATTATAGATATAGAATATAGATACTTGTTATGTCAACAAAATATTATAATAGTAAAACAAAAAATTTTCGAGGTGTATAAATTAATTTTTTTATATTATTTACAATAGATTAATATATTTTTTAAAGCATTTAAACAGCCATAATATGATGAATCCTTGAAAGTGACTAACGAAAAATATAACTATATTACAATTTTTGCTTACAAGAATATATATTTTTTTGAATGGATATGCTAACAATGCTGACCTACTGATACTATACGTCATTATAAAAAGAAGCGAAGTTGAAGATAAATTTGGAGATTTCGGTGAGCCGGATGGAAAGTCTCTCGTATTAAATTTATTCGACAAATACTTGCACATCAGCGATAACGAAGTATATTCTAACTGAACGTTAACCGATGCCCAAAGGATTGTAGTACTTATACAACACCACAATTTCAATACAATATTGAGCATCGACTTTTAAGCATAAATCCGACATTGTATATTATCAATTAATTAAAATTATCTATTATTATGGAAACGAAAATTGTCTACTGGCAATAACAAGGACGTTTAAGAGCGCGATGGGCAATATGAACGGATCACGGTCGAGAAAATTAGTTATTAATGAATACAGCCAATGTATTTCAATAATCGAACTTGAAACTAGGTCGATATACTTCAAGCCAGACAAAAACAGGAAGTCGTGGCCGCAATATATGAAAGAAGCGTACTGTGCGTGTGCTGCTCACTGTCCGAATAGCTAAATTGACTTTTATCGATCTATATGGGAGCTCGACACTACGAAATAGAGATGATTAGGCAGAGATAAAATGTAAAAAATGATCGCTAGTGAAATTAGACGATAGTGGGACACGATAATCCGCGGCTTCATTACCAATGCGCACACTCCGACCCGTAGGATTGGAGTTAATCTCGCGGCACAGCTGACGTGACACGTGCGCATCCGAGATCGTGAATAGTTGACAGATTATATGGGACAAAAAGAGAAATGAAGGGGATCCGCGACGAAGGCCTTGGGACGATGGCGATCGAAGAGTGAGAATGAAATGTGCGCGAAAGAATGGAACAATCGAGCGAGTGGGAGTTGCCACCGATGAGAGCGCACGCGCCCGTTCGCAAGAGCGTGCGAACGAGGCAAGCGATTACAAGCTCTCCTCGTAGATGAGGTCCGTAGCGAGCTCGAAGGAAAACGAGGCGCCTTGCCAGCTATGCCCAAGTATTTTCCGTTCGAAAAGAAAAGGCGTTTCGCGCTAAGGAGAATGACGTGGCATCATTGAGAACGGAGAGAATCTTCCGATGTCTCCTCCATCGTCTTTCGAGATGTTCCATTGAAACTATGTTATATGCGATATTATAATATAATTATTCATAGCTACGTTCCGACGTATCTCTTAACAAATAGATGCACCCATTATTTGTCGATGTATTTCATTGTGTCGTTACTCCGTCATCATTTGCTTTGTAAAGTAATTTTTTAAATACCTCGCGCGTTATTGTTACTGACAAGGAAAAAGCGAAAGTTCATTACGTGCGAGTAGAAATTGCGACTAGTCTTGCAAAAAACGGTGTAATAATCTTATACAAATTTTTTTGGTATACGAATTACGTATGCAGTGACTGCGCTACCATATGATCCTTGCACGTATTATCGATTCGAAAACCATCGAATGAAATGTAATAAGAAAATAAAAAAAAAAAAAAAAAAAAATGATGATTATTTTTGAAAAAATAATTCAGCATAATGTAAGATTCGAGCTTTATGAAATATATGATCAATTAAATTATGATAGATTCGGTATCGTATATTGTTTAAAATTTTTAAACAGCTCCACTTTGTTATACTATTCATATAATAAATATAATATCCGAATTGCAATCAGTTCATTAATAACTTCCATTGCCTTACAAAGAAATCATTTTTATGATAAAAAGTATAATGAAGTAAATTGCTTATCTGAGGAGTCACATAAACTGAATAAAACTACTCTATAAACATTATTAGATAATAATAAAGTATAAAATTTCGCAGTAACTATTTTTCGAACAATAGAACTTCGAGAAAATACGGAAATTGTATTTTTGTAAAGCAAGCGTAATGAGCGCGCATTTAGTTAATGAATGATACGGGTAATTAGAAAATAATAGGGTCAATGTTCAGCTCCAGTTTTTTATACAAATAAAAATTGTTCTTATATGCGTTACATAGTAATATAGTTTTGTTGTAATGTTAAAAAATTCTGGATTGAAAGAGCGTATGTGTTGAGTATTAAAATACAATAAACATCTTGGTTTATACAATAAACCATTTACAAATACAACCGACGAATAAGTGTTCCTGCGTATTTTAAATGGAGGCGCCTCGACTAAACTTGGATAGATACAATAGAAATTATGCTCAATCATTGGTGCAGTGAAAATCAATTTCATTCTTAATTGCAGCTTTAAGCACGTATAATTAAAATTCTGCTTTGTCTTAAATAAATTATATGACTATTGTTTTTGTAATGCTCATTGTAAATATTATCACTACTATCTTTATTACAAGTATTGTCATCACAATTCTAAATTATAAATATACATACAATTTATGAAACATCAATTGAATTTGAAAATTCATACAAAAATCAGAAATTGACTTGTTTTATAAACAATCTAGTTAAAAAATTAGGAACGATAAACATACCTTAATAATTGTACTTTTATACGGGAGGGCGTATTGACAAATAAGTTTAAAAGTAATAAAGTATTTAATAAAAAGATCTTAACAACTATATATTTATTAATTATTAATCATAACATTTTTCAACTGTCATAGTTCTATTGAATTTTATCAAATATCATGTAGAACGACATGCGATCATGTTTCATAAAAAATGCCCAATTTTTTTTATTAATCCTTAATATTATATAAAGCATTTAGTTTTCTATTTCCCTTCATTTATTTATTGTAATATAAAATCTATGTATTAGAATATTCTAAGGCATTGATTTGATTAAATATCAACTATTTAATACACATTTAAATTACTGTACAATAAATAGCAGCGTATAATGCAATTTATATATATATGTATTTTTTAAATAATGGATATTTTTAATTAGTAACAAGTAATTTTATTCAATGTGAAAATTGATAGATTAAAATAAATTTATATTAACAAAGTTAAAAAAAAAAAATTTCAGCACAAATGTATAATAAAACGTATAATAAACTAATTTACGCTTTTATCATATTTATTAGTAACATTTTATTAATATGAAATCTTATTCATTATTTTATAATATTTAATATTTGTATTATATTGCAAATACTTTAAAAATACTACATAATTTAATTTTGGATTAAACATATATTATATCTTTTCAGCTTATCGTTTTTTCGGAATTCAAGTTTAAATTTATTAGTATAATTAAACAAATTGCAATCAATAGACTACAAGTATGGTTTAATCCTTTATTGTTGATTGCAATTTTAATTTTAAAACGTTCATATCTAATGTATAAATTGCTACTCATGGAAATTTTTTTTTTTTTTTTTTTAATGATTTGTTTTGAAAACAATATATTTCATTGTAAATAATTATTTTTTTTTTTGCACTTTTAATGCAATATTTTAAATTTAATATCTTTCAGAAACTTTATTTCGCCGCAATTGAGCGAATCCTTATCAGTAATCCACTGTACTCACGGTATTCTTCAAATATCTTAAAAATTCTTGTAAATACTCTTCAAATTCCTTAAAATCAACTTTCACAAATCCATATTTTTAATAATGTAATTAGCAATAATCATTCAAATTGGAATTTTAATTAATCTCCGTATGTACCGATAATTATATTATATCAATTTTATTCCCACAGGGAGTGGTAATATAACCTAATTAGAATTAGATTCTACAATAGATCCACTTTGGCAAATAATTAAATAATCACTTTGAATTTGATTCCCACGAAAATCTTTTCTACAAAGTGAAACGATATTCGGCGAGAAAAAAGAAGAAAAACCGTCTTTCTATTATTATTGAATACGAAATGTTTTAAAAGAATTTCGTATATCCTTATCTATCCTTTCCAATTACCTCTCTATCCATCAACTTTATATCTACTATATCCTTTTAAATTTATAAAATACAATCTCGCCCGATTATCGACCCCGACAATTCAACGATCCCGCCCATTTGTTTTTTATTCAATTTTTTTAATTAAAAACAAACTCCTCACTCTTCCCAGCTCCTGGCATACGCCAACATCGTAACTGCCAAACAAAAATCATCCGTAAAACGCGTCTTCGGCGAGTCATTGGAAAACCTCTGATTGCGAATGCAGTAGTGTTATTCGAGCGCGCGCGCGCCTGCGTGAGCCTAAGCACTTTGCTCTTGCTCCTTATGCACTCCGTGCAAATCGGAGCGCGCAATGTGCAGGTGTTTATCTCTTTCGCCGTTCGTCATTCCGCGAAAAAGGAGGTAGTCGAGCTTTCCCTCTTCCTCGATCCCCCCTCTGCCCCGCGCGACGTCACCCAACACCGCTCGCTTCGCCTCCCTTAACCAGCCTCGTTCGCTCGCACACAAACTGCAAGAATATTTATTTTCGCGCGTCTATCCGCATTTGCCTAAATGTGCAAGTGCACGAACGTAAATGTGAGCGCGGCGCAGCCAAGTACGCGATATAGTAAATTATCCTCGAGCGCGTATATGGCCGTAATCACATGTACGTACGAAAGCCGCGAGCATCCTTTGCGCTCATGTACAGGCGCCGACGCACGTGTGGGTGCACGGGCCCGTGTCATTGCGATAGATCGGTAAAGTTCGGCCCCCCCACGCAGATTATTCACGATTCCGCCGCTATCTATTGTCCATTCTGCGTTCGACATTTCTTGAAAATTTAATAAGGCGGGGCAGAGGAAGAGGGGATGCGGAAAAATTCGCGCTAGGATGCCGAATTCGAAAAATATTATCACCCTTTCCTACCTACATAACGTTATAATTGAGACTCCGCTGTGTACGTGCCTTGTGCTTATGCGTATGAATTTATTTCCTTTCCTCTCATGTAACATTGGAAAATCAGGGGGAGAGAGAGAGAGAGAGAGAGAGAGAGAGAGAGAGAGAGTGAGTGAAAGAACGAACGAGCGTGTGTGCGCATGAGTGTGTGTTGAAACAGAGAGAGTTATCGGCAAGTGTGTTTGTACAAGCCGATGCTTGGATGTGTAAGAAAAAAGAGAAGTAGGAGGAGAAGAAATGTTTTTGACGGTCTAAACAAGCGGAGGCGTACAGAATAATACAGAGCGGACGGGAGTACGTTGATTTGACAGTCATAAACAGCAAAACTTGTCATAATTGTAAATTGATGTTTCTTTTTTGTTTTATATAGGGCGATTATAAATTTTAACTATCCTTTATTTTCCAAAATTTTATTGTTAAAAATTTTATTTATAATTTTAATTTTATCCATAATTTATTATTCACAATTTCTTAAACTTAAATATTAATGAATAATTAAAAAGTTTTCAATATAAATTGCTTTAAGCTTAATAAGCTTATCTAATTATCCTCAAAATTATTTTTTTATATTTTAATTAATTTAATTTATTAATTAATTTAATTTATAAGTAAATATAATTTAAAACATTTTCATATTTCTATATTTAAACGAGATATTATGTGGATTAGATAAAATGAAAAAATTATAATATAGTTTACACGTGGAAGTAAAATTGAAAGCATTCTATTAAATAATCTTTAAGTATCATTTGATTTTCAATTATTTTGTATTTATTTTACAAATATAAAATATAACATTTATCTAATGTAATCATGATATGATAATCCGTGTTTTGAAAATTAAATTTGAAATCCCTGCTTTTCTTCTAATTTTCGAACTTATTTTGATGAAATATATACTTATGACTAAAAAAGTATCTTAAATTGTAATTGCAAGCTGATATTTAATATAAAAGTAATTAATACAAATAGTGTCAGAACGATAATAAAGCTGCTTGCTTTCTTCAAACACCCAGTATACAAATTAAATGAGAACATTCGACAGAACGTGATTCGTGACCGTCGTTATACGAAACAAGCCTCCGGTGTCTGACCATCACGACACTGTCTTGCCCCTCCCTCTTTCATTTTCTTACCCACGCATACGCGCGAACGCACAGCATACGTGCGCACGCACACCTTTCAAATGAAAAATCTACCAAAGAAATACACATTCATGATAATATGCGATTCTTCCGTGTGCCAGAGAGAAACAGAAGACAATACAGTACCATATCAAAGTCCGTTAGCTTTTTAGCATCTGGTAGTACTGATATGAACGATCAGGATAAAGATGGACAGTGAGAGAGGGAGACAGGAGGTGAGATCGAGGCTGTATAAGCAGTCTACATATCAGTGCTGAAAGAAAGACGAAACGAGAGATAGATAGAGAGAGAGAGAGAGAGAGAGAGAGAGAGAGAGAGAGAGAGAGAGAGAGAGAGAAAGCGCCCTAGTCGCATGCACGCACACGTCTGATGCACGAGCGCTCGTTCTATGATATATCTATACAACGTCAGTGTGATACAGAGTAGCGACTTTTCTCTCTCGCACTATTTCGCGTTCGGGCGTGTGCGCGAGTCTGTGAGCGCGCCTGCATGACACGTACGGGGCGTGTACTTTCCGGGGGCTTTCCGCTCTCTCGTGGCCGAGAGACGAGGCAATATTATCCGTGTACCTCTTCCGCGTCCTCGTCGTCCTAGAAGTGCACCATCGAACGGCTTCTGACGGAACGGACGAGAGCCGAGCTGTCCATATTCCGCCGTTCGCCCCCGCGTTCATCAGCTCTGTCCGGACGGCTTCGAAGATGCCGCGGAGACCGCCGGCGCAGCAGCAGCCAGCAGCCGTGGCAGTGGCTACATCCACCACATCATCCTCGTCGTCGTGAGAGCGCGGGAGTAAGAAAAAGAGAGAGAGAGAGAGAGAGAGAGAGAGATAGATAGATAGAGAAGGAGAAAAAGAGAGACTGCGCGCACGCGTGTGCGTGCGTGCGTGCGTGCGTCTGTACGTGCGTGCGTGCGTGCGCGAGAGAGCGAGAGTGAGGAAGAGCAAAGGAGAGAGAAAAGAGAGAGAGAGAGAGAGAGAGAGAGAGAGACAGAGGGAGAGAGAAGAAAGGAAGACAAACGGAGAAAACGACGACAGCAGCCGTGAACTTCGCCGCTCAGCGTGCGCATGCCTCCTCCTCCTCCTCCTCCTCCTCCTCTGCAACAGCAAGCAGCAACAGCAGTGAGCAACAGCAGCAGCAGTAACAGCAACATTAACAGCAACAGCAACAGCAATAACAACAATAACAACAGCAGCACCACCACACCATCACCTCCTCCTTCTTCTCCTTCTCCTCTATCTCCACCACCACCACTACGACCACCACCACCACCGCCACCGCCACCACTACTACAACTACCACTGCCATCACTACCACCACCGCACACAGTTTAATCTCGCCATTTTGGAGGTGAGAGAAAAGAAAAATAATATACACGCGTGAGCTACTTGTCTTCCTTCGTTTGGGGAAGGACACTACGAAGTTTATTAAAGTTTATTGCACACGTTTGTGTTCTCTCTCTCTCTCTCTCTCTCTATCTATCTGTCTCTCTCTTTCTCTCTTGCTCTTTCTATTTATCTCTCCCCCTCACCCTCTTTCTCTCGCTCTCTCATTCTACTCTCTACTCTCTCTATTATCTACTATCTGCTATCTACTCTACTCGTTACTCTATATTTTTACTTTTCCTCCGTCTTGCATGGACATACATACATATACACACGCACGTACACACAGAGTTGCATGTTCTGCCTTTCTCTTATTTATCTCTCTCACTCTCTCTCTCTCTCTCTCTCTCTCTCTATGTCTGTCTCTGGCTCTCTCCCTGTTTTTACTATCCCTCTATCTCTATCTTTTTACATTCCCTTGTTTGCCTTGTACTGTATATGAAGCTTCCTCTTATTGCAATTGGAAACCTTTTCCTGTAGTTATGGGTCTGCGTGTATACACAATTTTCCATCATGCTTAATGTAATTTTCAGATTTCACAAAGTGAGTGTTCAAAACAGTGAGTAGTACCATCCACTTTTCCAGGGGATGCAGGTTAATTGCTACTCATCCAAGAGTGTTATAAGTATTTCCCCCTTTAGGGGAAATTCAGCCAGGAAGACTTATGTTGTCATGGAGCTCACCTTGGATCACCACTGATCTCTAAATGCTTTGTGAGTGCTTTTATTTAACCGAAAAATCTTTATTTTATTTGTGTGCCTACGTTGCTTTAATTTACTCAACATTCATTTACATTAAAATATTTGATTTCATTTACAGTAATAGTGCAAATGGTCCGGTTATAATTACAAGCTTTATAACACATCTACTGTTAATTTTCACATTAGATTATTATTTCTTGAATTTCTTACATAATAAGGATACTTTTAATTTTTTAAAGATTAATTTCTAACTTTATTAATTAGGTAATTAGTATTGTTGAGCTATACAATAATAGGCAAGTTTTTGTTATTTTTATATAACATCCTTTGACAAAGGTATTGCACTAGAAAAGTACTTTAATATGCTGAGAAGCGAAAATATTTTATTGGAAATGATTAACCATTTTTATTTATATAACCATTATTGATCTGTAAGCTGTTGGAAGCTTCAGCTCTTGCTTATTAATCTTCTAATTAAACGTATTTATGAATTTTTTGATATTATTTTCATAACAAAAAAATTAAAATAATTAAAATCAAATTTTCATAAAACAAGAATACTAAACTAAATGTGATAATTAAATTGATATTAATATATTGTTTTCATTGTGGTTAGGTTTTATAACAAAACGATTATACTAACGACAAATATCTTTTATAACGTGGTATAATTTGTGAATTTAATTAATGCCAAATCTTTGAATTATTTCCAGTCGCGCAAGGCAATGCCTGGTCATCTTTATACAAAGTTTAACAATCTTTCCCTCTCTTTATCTTCTGTTCTTACAAAAGATGTACCTACATTAGTTCTGGTCTTTGTTATATGAGATATGTGTTTTTATCAAATATTGTGATAAAAGAGCTGTGATTAAATCAATAAGTCACTGATGCACTAATTCTTTTCCTTTAAAATTCATTGCTTCACTCTGTAGCGTAGCAAAGATTATTCAGAGAATACACGAAGGAACAATGTGATAAAATCAATTTCTGTATTAGAATATTGATATTACGGCGGAACTAAAAATTTTTCAAAAGCCTCATTGTAACTTGTAAATTATAAAAACTATATAACACAGAGTAATGAGAGCGTTTCCTTAATGCACAGTAATTACTCTTAATGTATAATGTACCGACAATAGGAACAATAGCAAATATATCACATAAAGTATATGTATAAATAATGGGAGCTATGAGCATAATTGCTAGCAAAGTAATCATGACTCTGTTAACTTAATAAATTTAGAATTTGTCTGCTCTCAGTCTCAATTTCATCTTGGCCAGCGTCATTACTCGGCTTTTATTTTGTGGTTGGATTTCTCGTGTTTATCCAATCATAAACGAGGAACGTCAATTTTCCAAATTATTATCTCCTTTATTGGAATGTTACGTCACATATCGAATGAGAATACATTAGAGAAGGTTGAATTAATCATTCATTTTGACATTCTGGTGCAGCGATGAACCTTTGATCGAACGTTTACAGGCCAAGCGACCTACGGCCAGGGTGATGGACTGACAGAGGATAGTAAGCTGGCGCACGTTTGGGTCGAGGACCAGCAGTCCTCAACTACCACCAAGCAGGATAGACGAGAGTCGAAGCTGGAAGTCGAGGCGGGCAACAACGAGGGCGGCGGCGGGGGCGTGGGCGGCGGACATAGGAAGGCCCTTGGCCGTCCCCGCGACAGTCAGATTATGCCGGTAGTGCCGAGGCCGGGCAGCCTTAAGGATCCGGATATCGCCGAGCTCTTCGAGAAGAACGATCCGGAGAAGATATTCGAAGACCTGAGGGAGATCGGCCATGGCAGCTTTGGCGCGGTTTACTACGCCAGGTGCTTGCTCACCAAGGAGATCGTCGCCATTAAGAAAATGTCCTATCTGGGCAAGCAGACGATGGAAAAATGGCAGGATATACTCAAGGAAATACGTTTCCTCAGACAGCTTAAACATCCCAATACCATCGAATATAAAGGCTGCTATCTCAGGGACCATACTGCCTGGGCAAGTGACACTTCCTTTTATTATTTCCATATTTATGTGCAAGTTAACTTTGCACATCGATGCTTCTCTCATTAAATTCAAATGCTTTGATGTTTGCAATTTCATTGTTTTAATTATTGAATCGCAAGCTTACACAATTACAAACAATACGTCTACTTATTGTTTTTGGGTCGATAGACTGTTTCACTTATATGCCTTAAAAAATTTTCAATGTAAACTTACAATTTCTTCATTAGGATTATTCAACTGGACTCTCTTTTAATAAGTTTATTAGAATTTGTATTAATATTCATTACTGCAATTTGAATTATGCGGTATGAATACCTGTATGTTATTTGATTTTATTACAAATCATTCGTGTCTTATCATTGATAAGATCAAAAACCACCATAATAATTATACTTAATTTATTTGATATATTTTGTACCTTTAGTGTCAATAAAAGACAAAAATGATTAAGATGATGATAATATTTAATTTCAAAGCAGATTAAATTTTTTCCACTTACATATAACTTTCAAAATTAAATTATCATCAACCATATCATTTTATGAATTATTAAATCATTAGATCTTGTATGTTTTTATAAGAGCTTTGATTAAATGTTTCATTTAAATACTTCCTTTACCTTACTATATCTTATGCTACAATGTTTTAAATTACTAAAAAGCATGTAGTTTTAACATAGAGATAATTTTCTATAATTAATTAAATTTAGAAAATATTCTTTTGTTAAATTTTGCAATTAGCATTTAATAAAAAATTGTAGCTTTGTAACCCCCCTCCCCCTCACTACCCCTCCCCCTCCCACCCAATCCCCACAATTCCATGATAATTTTCAACTTATTTTACAAGGTTATTTATCAATATTAAATAAGATTAATATTGTTTTTATTATAATGACTTTAGCAATTAATGATTAGGTCTAATCATACTTATTTTAAATTGTTTATTATTGTAATAGAAGTGAAGATTACGCGATTTGTTTAATGCTACATAAAAGTTATAAGGAATTGGATGATTATATTTAATTATAGTCAAATTTATGTTTTATAGCATAACTTAAATGAATATTAATAAGTTTTAGAAAATTTTTATTTTGAATGGTATTAATAAAAAATAAAATAAAGGTCAAAGAGTCTTTTTAGACATGGATTTCTCGATATTATTTTATTTTTTCATCAGAATTATTTGTATTTTTTACATACTTGATAAATATTCACATTAACAGAAATCTAAATTCAATATTTCATTATTAATTAAAAACAATATTTACAATTAATAAATCGTAAGTTTATTTAAAACATTGAAAGTTATAGATAATTTGCATGAACTTATTCGATTCAATTTAATTGTTAAAATTATATTTAAATTACTTAATTTTTGTACCTATTTAATGTAAAAATATGTACACTTAGGAACGTTTCTATGAATTTATATTAAACTCTTTTAAATGCAATAAAAAATATTTAAACAATGAACAATATGTTTAGAATTTTAAGGATTGGCCTAATGAGGTTTCAAGCAGTCACAAACATTTTAACTACATTTTTTAATTACTGTCATTTTTTTGTCATTATAAATAATAATTACATTCGAGAAAAAAAAAAGAAGAAAAATAACGACCTTATCTAGACAAGATATTGTTAAAGTATAAATTCGTTAAATTAAATTAATTAACGAAATACTTGGCTATTGTATTTTTCGTTTTGTTCCTAATTATGGTTTATGATATATACTCCGATAATAAAACCATTAGCGTTATCATTTTGTTTTTGATATGGAAATGTAATTTAACATATACCTTGAGATTAGTGTCTTGATAATAGTTGTAATCCTTAAAACCCTTATGCTAACTATTTATATATTTATTATATATTTATATATGCGACACTATGTTTAATGCCCATTAGGTACCAAATTTTGCGTATCTTCGATGAAAAAGTATAATGTATGATATATATGATTAATTTGTATCATTATGACCGAAAACCACAAACGTACACGTCGTTATTTGGCATATTGGACTATACATAAATTTGCATATATATATATATAAGTGAAGCCGTTATTAAAGAATTTACAAATAACATGCCGAAATGCATAAATTGCAAGTAAAATAAATTTTTATGTTAATAATGAGTTAATAATAATCTTGTAATCTAATAAGTCTTTAAAATTATCCATCGAAGCATTAAGCATTTAAAAGAAATCTAATATATGGCTGCGGGTAATAACGATGGACTTCACATTTTGTCATGCACAGCTGGTGATGGAGTACTGCCTCGGCTCGGCGTCGGACATCATCGAGGTGCACAAGAGGCCGCTAAAGGAAGACGAGATTTCGGCCATCTGCGAAGGCGTGCTAAGGGGCCTACACTACCTGCACTCGTTGGGCAGGATCCATCGAGACGTAAAGGCTGGCAACATCTTGCTCACGGAAAACGGCACCGTGAAACTCGCCGATTTTGGCTCGGCGAGCGTCAAATGTCCGGCTAATAGCTTCGTCGGCACGCCTTACTGGATGGCTCCCGAGGTTATACTCGCCATGGACGAGGGCCAGTATGACGGCAAGGTCGACGTCTGGTCCTTGGGGATCACGTGCATCGAATTAGGTATGGCTTACAGTGCTTTCATTGGTGAACGACTTTCGTTTTCTCAAATTCTCTCTCTCTCTCTCTCTCTCTCTCTCTCACTCTTCTCTTCCTTTCCCTTCCCTTCTCTTCCTTTCCCTTCCCTTTCCTTCCATTCCCTTCCATTCCCTTCCCTTCCATTCCCTTCCCTTCCCATCCCTTCCCATCCCTTCCCTTCCCTTCCCTTCCCATCCCATCCTTTTCCCTCCCCCCTCCCGCAACCGCCAATGAAACTACGGATTTCTACGTTCGACTTTAACTTGCCTCACTGAGTTGTCTTAATTAATACTTCGTTTCAATTTTAATGGCGATGACGTTCCCAATTGCTACCGTTTTTGCCGTTGAACATTATTTATAATATTAGAGAATAATATTCAATAATAAATTATACAGATAATCAAGTACATGATAGAAAATGCTTATTTTGTTAAATATATGCGCCAAGTGGCCTCTTTAATATATTGCCTTTAATATTCCTCGTTACATTTGCTTATAGTCTTCATTTTATTGTCCCAATAAGTTTACGTAAATTATGCTTATTTCATAAAATAGATGAATTTCAAATAAAATGATTAATTTAATAACTAACGCATAAATCGAAAAAAAATGCATATACATACGTATTGATACTTCATATAATAATCTTTTAAAAAAGAAATCAAAATGGACTTTATTAACTGTTATTCTGAAATTGTTCTGAAAGAAAGCCCTAATCACGAGTATTTTAAATTTATTTACTATTGATATTGAAGAAATCAATAAACTCATAATGCATCGTAATATGAATATTTGTATTTTTAATTTCTCATTAAAGTTATGACGTTAAAAGAAATCTAACTAAATTCTTTGACATGCTTGATATATTTTATCACTACCAGTGATGTTCAGTCAAAATGAAAAGTTTTCATTTGAAATATTATATTCCAGCAATTTTAATGTCCTATACTTTGCAGACTTTACACATAGGACATATATTATATATATAAATTTGTGTGTTTCTATGTGTGTAGCAGCAGCAGTCATTGTGATCGTCTTATACATTTCGGCATAGTATTTTTTTTTAATTTTTTTTTTTTTTTTATAATATTTGAATTTCTGTTGGGTTTATAGCGGAACGGAAACCGCCTTATTTCAACATGAACGCAATGAGTGCTCTCTATCATATTGCCCAAAACGAAAGACCGACGTTGAACTCGGCCGAGTGGACGGACGTATTCCGTCACTTCGTCGAAGTCTGCCTTACTAAAAGTCCTAGCGAAAGGCCAACTTCCGGGAAATTGTTATCGGTGAGTATTTTAAATCATTCGCCTGCCATAATTAATATCTTTCTACGTCATTGAATTAATCACTTTACGCACTACTTTTAATACATACGAATTTTATTTGAATAATATGTACATAATATCTATAGTTTCAATAATCGAGTTATTTAGGTTATTATTTAAATTTTTTATTAATTGTTATCTTTTATTTTTGTTGTGATAATAATTGTATATGTTTAATATATTTTTTATTATGTGGATTTCATATTGTGGATGTTAATTGTCGAGTATATTATATAAAACAAAAAAAAAAATTATATATTATTTTCCAGCATCAATTCGTCACAAGAACTCGATCATCTCAAGTTTTAATAGATCTTATAGGTAGAACGAAAGCTGCTGTTCGAGAATTGGATAATTTGAATTATCGAAAAATGAAGAAAATTCTAATGATTGACACTTGCGAAACCGAGAGTCAAGTCGGCGATGCCGATGGTAACTCATTCTTTTATTTTATTTATTTGTTTTATTACAATTACTTATCATTACTTATCAATAATACGTAAAAGCCAAGAATTAAATGAGACTCTAATAAAATGAATTTACTTCTATATTGAAATTTAATTACAGTATTATATAGTATTTTTGTTGTGGATATAAATAGAGCGCAAGAACATATAAATTATTAAATTCATATCAGTGACATATTTAGTTATCTTTTGGTTAGAAAATAATCTTAAATTTAAATTACATTAAATATGACAAGCAAATGATTTAATTGATTTGAATAAATATATTTTTTTCTCTCTTTATTTTGTACTAAGGAATAATTTTTAACTTTAATAATAATTCTCATTTCTATTTAATTTTTTTTCTGGATACATAATTTACACTGGTTTAAATAAATATTTACTTAATCTTTTACAAGAGATTTCATTTTATTCTGTTTGTATTATATCGAATGACAAAAATATAGTTTTATGTAATTAGATGATTTTACTTTATTTCATTATGTATTTTATTATGTAATGTATAATTTGTATACTAAATGTATGTATTATAAAGTTCAAAAGCATTCTAAACGATATTTTTTGCTTATCATACGATAATGTAATGAATTAACGATGAAAGAATATGCTATACTAATGTAAAATCGTATGAATATTAATGATCGCAATGCGAGTATAGATGAAATGTTGAATTAACTAGTGTTAAACAAATCGTTGCTTTGAATTGCTCTCAAAAAAGTCGATCTTATGATTTTCATTCGAAAAATAAATTTATCCATTATCTTATGGAGTTATATAAATTCATTGTAATTGAAAAGTGAATTCCGCCTATTCATTGACGAATTTTCTTTTAGAGTTATTTATTAAAGTAATCGTGGGATTATCTTGAGGAAATAAACTGATTTATCAATTAAGGTTGAAACTCGAGTTCAATTTTCAATGAAAAAATGCCGCTCGCTTAAATGGGAGCCCTAGATGCAATTATGCTTGACGAGATTACGATTATTTTCTGACACGCAGACACTCCTGACGAACAAACAGGTGGCGACAGCAGCAAAAGTAACAGCATCACCTCGGAGCACTCTATCCATTCTATGGGGGTCTCGGCGAGCTCGCAAAGCTCCTCTACTAATAGCCTTCCACTGCCCAACACCGATGCCAACGACTACACAGGCTCTGTTAGAAATCGTCACAAGATGTCAGCTGGCGTTACGGCGAATTTACTCGAACACGGAGCTAATAATTTCGCGACCATCAGGACAACGTCGATTGTGACGAAGCAGCAGAAGGAGCACATGCAAGAGGAGATGCACGAACAGATGAGCGGCTATAAGAGGATGAGGCGAGAGCATCATGGTGCACTGGTGAGATTATGATGAAAAATTAATGATCAAATGTTATACGCGTTATATTACCAGATTTAATCACTTTGCAATTTAATCATCGATTGCTTGGGAAATAATCAAGATAACTCATCAAAGTCTTAAGAAACGGAGTATCTGAATTGATGAGCAAAAATTCAAGTAGTAATTTTAAGTTAACGTTATTTATTTTGTGTAGGTCAAGTTAGAGGAACGATGCAAAATGGAAGTTGAGTCTCACAAACAGTTGCTTGAGAAGGAATATGAAAGTCTCATGCAACAATTTAGCAAAGAATTAGAAAAATTGCAAGCCAGGCATCATCAGGAGCTCGATCGAAAATTAAAGCAAAATCAAAACGCAGAGAAGAAACTTCATAAGGAAATAACGAGCAGGCACGAAGCCGATCGCAAAGCACTCGAAGCCCAACAGAAGCGCGAATACAAGGTAACAAGTGTTTTTATTATTTATGCTATATCTCTTACCTCTCCATGCTTATGTAATAATAAAATTATTAATGATGGTAAATTTTTCTAATATTTTCTTAAAGCATGTGTTGAAATTCAAAATTCAATAATGAAACACATTCAAATTAACACGATGTTCTAATGTTCAAAGAGGTACAAATATTTAAAGAACATTTCACTTGTATATCTATTGATTGTGTATATCTATTTGTTTAATTAATAGGCGTATAAGGAACGGTGGAAGAAGGAACTTTCACAAGACGAGGTTACGCCAAAGCGACAACGAGACGCTACTCTTCAAAGTCAAAAGGATAGTTTGAAACAAATGGAGGCGCAAGAGGAGCAGCGACTCGCACGCGGACAGCGGGAATACCTCGATCTTGAAATACGAAAGTTCCGTAGAAAAAAGTTACTCACTTTCCATAGCCTTGAGCAGGAACTTCTTCGCGAAGTAAGTATACGTGCCGATACTTTTGTGACATATAATGAAATATAAAGTGATATTCATATTTTATCGACCGTTAATCTTTAATTTGATATATTGAAAGTAATAATATTTAGTTTGAGAATTTTATGATTTATCTTAAGGTGAATAATATTTGTGTGATTGTCAGTTAAATAGTTCTATTCTATATATAGTTATATTCATTTTAGCACTATTACAAAATACTTTATAAACGTTTGCTTTTGAACTAACTAGGAATTGAATAAGAGGCAACAACAATTGGAACAAGCTCATGCTATGCTCTTGCGTCATCATGAGAAAACGCAGGAATTGGAATACAGACAACAGAGAGCAGTTCATGCCCTTCGTGAGGAACAAATCCATCGGCAGCACTCAACCGAACTTAGCAATCAGCGAGATTATATGCAACGGGCCGAGCGTGATTTGCGAAAGAAGCATGCACTTGAGCTAAAACAACAACCCAAAAGTCTGAAGGTAAACACGTCATATAATATTGACAATCATATTTGCTTTATAATTAATTCAATGGTTTTGCTTCATAAATATTTAATTAGTTGTGGGATATATTTATTTAAAAATAAATATGCACTTATGCAAAATTAACTCTTCGATATTTAACGATACATGGAAATATGAAGAAGAGTATCCTTAGATTCTTTAACGTAGTTGTGAATTTTCATTAAGGCTTTTTGACTTATTGAAAAAAAAAAATTTTCTAATTATTGACAATACTTTTAAATTTATATTAAAGCCTGTAAATTTATAATATTTTGCAGCAAAAAGAAATGCAAATCAGAAAACAGTTTAGGGAAACGTGTAAAATTCAAACGCGCCAGTATAAAGCACTTAAGGCTCAGATATTGCAAATGACACCGAAGGATGAACAAAAGGCTGTAATTAAGAAATTAAAAGAGGAACAAAGGCGGAAACTCGCACTTCTGGGCGATCAGTATGAGCAAAGTATCGCTGAAATGCTTCAGAAACAAAGTATTCGCTTGGACGAATCACAAGAAATTGAGTGCCAGATTCTTAAGGTATTGATTTTTACTGATAATTATTCCAATGTGATTTACAACATAATAACTAACTTTTAAATTAAATAAATCAATGTTCATTTTATTAAAAATTTCAGCTAGGCTTTTACTTAACTTTAACTTTATTCCTATCGCTAATTTACAAGTAAATTTTTAAGAATTTCAATCTTTAATGTTATTATTATATGTATCATCTTGTTATACAAAAATCGAGGTGTCTGAAATAATTTAATTCATTGTATTTACAATTATTTGATTACGTATATGCTTTGATTATAATGGTTAATGTGATTTTTTCATTATTTATCGAAGAGTCAGCAGTATTTTTTCAATTTCAATTTTAAGACAACATATAAGGAGCCAATTCTTCTTATAATTAATTCTCTTCTTGCAAAAGTATAGAAAAGCATAATCTGAACATAACGCAAACGGAAATCATTATTAGCATGACATTAATATGTGCTATTACACTTTGTTATTATAGCAAAGATTAAATCATGAACTGGAGATTCTTATGGCGTATCAATCGAAGAACAAGATGCAGGCGGAGGCTCAGAGAGATCGTGAACGACGCGAGCTGGAGGATCGGGTCTCGGTGAGACGGGCACTTCTCGAAAAGAAGCTCGAAGACGAGACGCAGAAGATATTACACGAACGTAGTGAGCGAATACGACTGCTATACGAAAAGCAGGAGCGCGAGCTACAGCAATTCGACGAGGAAAGTGTGAGAATTGGCTTCAGGTTAGAACAGTATTTTTATTAATATAAGGAAAATTATTATTAAGTAAAATGTATAAATAACTTCTGATTTTTTTAATATGCTACTATAAAGAAACTTAAAATATGATGCTTTAAAGCTTTCGTTAAGCTTATTGGCTCGAAAAATTAACAAATGATACACGCTGTATATATTTTATATATCGTAAATTATATGATAACTATATGGAATATGCGTTAATGTAACTTTGATTTAATTCATTCATTTGATTCAAGAGCTCATGAAAATCTGTAATTGAAAAGAACGTTGTTTGACAATTATATTATGAATTTGAATGTTTATAAACTATTTTCTTTCAAAATTTGATATAACAATGCAGGAAAGCATGAAAATAACGATTTTATTTTTAATTATTTTTAATTTTTAATTTACTTCAATTAAGACTGGATATTAAAATTGTTCGAAAATGCGTTGTTACAAGTGAGATTTTATGAGTTATAAAATTACATCAATTGATTTTCGCGACATATTGTTATTGACATATAGTGAAATTATTAAGAACACATTAATTAACGCAATTGTGATTGATATTTTCAGTGCACTGGCAATAGCCGAAGCTTCGAAAGAGTCTTACCCGGACGACGAGAGCCTCAGCGGTTCAATGTTAAGCCTGGCTCATAGTAATAGCTCTACATCTTTTCCCCCTAATAGTCTTTAATCTTAATATTTCGTGTTAAAATGTAATGTCCGCCTGTAATCCCGCGAATATGGAGCTCGTTTAATTTATAATACAGGCCAGACAGGTGTCGACTCACTCGAATTTCGGGTATGCGTATTGGATCAGAACGTAACGATCACCTTCAATTCTTTAAACGGTTTTTTATTCCAAGGAAATGAGCGCGACCATTACTTTATGGCCAAGTTAGCATTCTATCCTTGATCTCTCCCTCTTCCTCACATTCTTGCACCCTTTCCTTACCTCTGACTCGCATAAAACTTATTTTCTAGCTTCTCTTCATAATTTTATTTAAATAAGGATAATCGCTTGTTTTGTATAAATTTGATACTCATAATAGTCTGTAGAATTTTTTTTTTTTTTTTTTTTTTTTTTTTTTGTTTCGGAGATTTTAGAGATTTTTTTTACACAATTTCTTTTTTATTTGCAAATTTCAAAAAAAAAAATAATCTCTATATATCTATCTATCTATCTATCTATCTAATTATCTAAAAATAAGTATACATCTATCTATTTATCTATCTATTTCATATATCGCTTTTTGAAAACATAAGTATTTAAAAAGAATTTCAATATTATTAAACTTTACTTTTATATCTATCGCTTCATTTAAAATAATGTTTTTAATTTGATATTTGTTGAGTCAAACTCAATGTGCGCGTTTAAATAACGCAATTCACAACTTGTTACATTGAAATTTTTTACTAAAAAAAAATTTTGTCTGATTTTACAAAAATGTGTTTGTCAAAAAAAGTAGATCCATATACGCATTTTCTTATTTATTTTCTTTTTTTTTTTCTTTTTTTTTTGTATTTTAAGAATGATAATTTGTGTATATATCCTTGGATATTGATATTAGGATAATAGATTGTGTCTTTATAGTGATATGCATCTGTATACCACTTGATTATGCTTTGTCTTAATTCTGAAATCAATTTAATAAATTCATATACAACATTCATCTTTATTTTAAATAAAGTATTAATACAAGCACTATACACGCGCGTGCGCACACACACACACACATTAATATACACTTATATATAAATATAGAAACACAAAACATAATAAAAAATTAAAGACAAGTATACTAACAAATCATAAAATTTCATTACGATATGCTGTGTTTTAATTTATTTATTATCAAGAGTATCAAATCATTTCTTTTATTTTTTTTTATTTTTTTTTTTTATTTTTTTTTTTTTTTATTAAAGTAATAAAAATTGAATCAAATGAACATATAATTAAATATGGTTCACAAATTTAATTTTTAGATATTCTATGTGAAATTTTTTTATTGAAACCATATTCTTTTCAAGAAAATTCTTAACAACTTCATTAATGTGCTTACATTGTCTTCCAATTTAGGACTATCAGTTTGCAGATGATAACAGATTTTAAATTTTTCTTTTTTCCATATAAATCACGTTTAAGAAATTTCGTATGTCATGCTTTTATCATACATAATTGTATACAGACATGTATTTAAAATAACGTGTGTAATTTATATATTAAGAATAAAATATTGAGTTTATGAATTCATTCATAAATTTTGAAAGAATTCAAGATTAATATTTGTTAATAATTATGTAGGGTTTTGTCCAATAGTCTCACGATAATAAATAAAATGTAAACGTTTAGCGTACGCTAATTATGAAAATATGCCTATTAAGAATTCGTGAACTTGCGCTTTAATCCAGTACACATCCCGACTTAATATCTATAAAATACAACGTGCTCTAAAAATTTTACAAAATGAATTAAAAAAAAAAAAATAATAATAATATTAATAACAGACTTTTTAATCTCACTCGCTCTTTCCCCATGGTAAGGGAAAACACTTTTTATACGCAGATATAATTATCATTAAAAAATATTCTATAATTATTACTTTAACGTTACAAAGTGTCTAACTGAATATAAAATAAAAAAAAAATAAAATAATGTAACGGATGAATACGCGATTGTGACAGTTTTACATACCGATGGTGCGGATTTTGTTTGTTATTTAATGATAAAATAGTTTTGGAATATGTAGATTATACAAGAAAGTATTTGTATATTCGATTTCGTTTATTCCTTTAAAGAGTCGTGTAAGTCGTTAGTGTAGTTTTACAAAATTAATAAAAACACAAAGTAAGTTATGTGCTTGCATAAGGTAAAGAAAATCTAGACGTAAATGTATGTGCAAAAAATATTCATAATGTTAATGAACATTGCTGTTTTTTTAGTAAGGATCGTAATGGTCAAAAAGTAATTTTTCCTAATTTTATTGTCTATAAGGTGCCAATCCAATGATAACGATTTTAAATTTGAAAATTTTTATACATCACTCGTGTGTAAGCTGTGTAAATTTAGAGAGAACGAAGCTGAGTTTAAGTGATACCCATTGGAAAAATTTATTGTAATTAGTAGTGATGGGAAATTAGTTTTCATGATTTATTTACATTGCTGAATAGTTATATAGTAGTGTTTAAGCGATCGATTGATAAGAAATGAAAACGGAATAAACTAAATTAGCTAATGGAAATTAAAAATTATGTGGTCGGAAAATTCATAGAAATTTGAATTTAATCAAAAGATTCTTGATTGTGCGAGGGAACAGCGAAGAAAATTTTCCAAGGGGTTATAGAGCGAGAAAAGCAACAAAGAACATGTAGTAAAGTCAACATGAGTCACAATCGATCGATTTTTATTTGAAAGAAAGAAAAAAAAAAGTACGCGAGCCTGCTTACCGCGATTACACGTCACTCATCGAAGAGGACATCCGTAGTATTTATTTATACAGAATCGACGGTGAACCACTCGAGCTGGTCAAGGAACTGCGCTGAAAATTAATTTTATGGGCTTCGTAGTAATTATAATGCTTCGTAAACTGCAATGTTCAAAGCTACGAATGCAAAGAACATCAGAAATTTTGTAATGGTAAATATAGAAAATCATTTAGTAAGTTAAAATCTGTTATATACTTTCGACTGTACATTATTTTTAAAATCATTCTGCTTTACTTTAATTAATTCAAATTAGTGACAATCCATTGTACGTAAAGGTTTTATTTAATTTTAATTTAAATATTTAATGAAGATCTTTTATTTCAAATAAGGCAATTATTATACGCAATTAGTTTAATTACAGCAAGAGTTCTTATATTTTAATAATTTTTCAATATAAAACTTTTTATAATGTTTGTTAACTTAATAATACTTTTTAGATGATTTTTTTTCTCCATTTTTGTTTAGTTTTGTTATTTTGTTTTTTGTTTTGTTTTCATATTTACCAGCAAATGATGAAATTAATATTATAATACTTCATCTGTAATTTATAAATTGTACATTGTAAAGAAGCACTTCATTCACTTATGTTATTCAGAGTTGCAATAATGAAGCAGAATGACAAATGAACCCCATCTGATTTTTTCGGCCGGAAAATCCACTCCACTTCCTGGCATCACTAGCTGGGTCTCATGGGATTACGTCGCTTATTCATCTTCCGGAAACCTGTCGAGGTGCTCGATAAACTCACCACTGAATACCCGTTATGCTACAGTAGTTAAGCCGCTTCATTCATATATTAATTGCGTTGTATTTTACGTTTAACTTCAAATTGACAATTGCTTGTTAGATAATTTTTTTCTCAAATATTTTCCTATTCACACTTGGAGAGCATATTTTTCAATAATAAATGTATACTGCATGTAGCGTACCATTAACCATAGAGTGAAGCTTGGTGCTTTATCCCGTTAATCATTATATATACAATTTTAAACTGATATTCAGCTGCGAACGCATTTAAATGTCCGTTGTAATTAAATTAGTAATCTTGTCTTATTAGTTTATTAGATCAGCGCTCGTCGTAAAATATGTCCTTCGTTCAAAACACTAAAGAGCTTGAAATGAAAAAAAAAAAAAAAAAAACAATTTACCCTTTTAAAAGTTAAGAAATTATTTTCTGCAGATGTTCGCGATAACGTCTTATACTTTTGTTAACGGAGCCGTTGGCATTTTCTATTCTAGCCAAACCAAAGCCAATTTCTCAACAATATACGCGATGAATGAACTAGCAATTTATAAAATCGTGACACATGTCGTCCGTTAGATTTCCGTGAAGTACGTTTGGGATATAGCAACGTAATTCCATCAAGGAAGGATTTTTCTTTCACTGATAATCAGCGTGGTTCTTTTGTATTTACTTAATTACTTGTGTGCACCACAGCGCATACACGTACAATCTATTGCGATCATTATGAGGCAAAAGATAAAAAGAAATGTGTATCGAAGAGATAAAGGCTTAAAGTTCCGATCGTCCAATGTTTGGAAGTTGGAACTTTGGCGATATATAATAGATAAAAATTATTATTTCAGCGTTTTGTTAGTTTGTACTGTATATATAAAAAAAAAAAAAATAATATTGACTATAAACGCGTGTGTGCATACGTGTATTATTCGTATGTCTCTATTGTTATAAAAAGGAACACTAGGTAAAGTCACTTTAAATTCGCAGATATTTAAGTTTTTAAGAAATCATGAGAATATCTATAAAACCATGAGAATGCCGTCAATTATATGTAAAGAGTAATAAATAAGCATTTTCATTATTATAGATTTTCTATGAACTGTTTTTGAATAATTAAATCATCTACCTACACTTCGTTTTGCTTAACATTTGTACGTGAAATTTTTACATTCCTTAAATCTTCGTAATGTTTTGATTACGTAAGGGATACGTATTTATAATTACGTTTTAAAGTGACTTTATCGCATTTAAAATATATATATCCAGCCAAAGATATAAAAATTTTGTCCAGCTCGCTGTGCTTCTTATGCATATAGAAGAGAGAAGGAATCGCGTTTCTTGTTGTCCATTTTTTTCTCTCTAGTTTTTTTCGTTGTAAATTCCAAGTTAATGATCCGAGTTCCGCGTATTTGCCAGTAAGTTTCTCACGTAATCTTCTCTTTCTTTTTCCTTTTTTTTCTCTTTTTTTTTTATTTATTTTTTTTTTTTTTTATACCCCAGGGAGAAAAAAATATACGTATATTATAAGATTTGTATCCGAAAATAATGTACTAATTTTTTTTTTTTTATGTTTTCAAAATGATAATTTAATTACTTACTATCGTCGCCAATAAAGTAATAACCAGAAAAAAATAAATAATGTTAACTATCCATTTTTCATATCTATTCATTATTGTATAAGGGGTATTTGAAGATGAACGTCGGTATAAAAAAAATTGACCTAAGATCTTTGAAAAAACTAAAGTAAACAATTAATAAGCTGCTATTATGTATATTATGTAAAATTATTTTTATTCCAAATTAAGATCGTATAATTTTGTATGGTTTTATATTGTAGAATTTAATTCACTTTAAGTCATAAATTTTTGAAAAAATTTAATGTTAACAATTATATTTTTACAAGTTTTAATCAATGTTATTTATCAATCAATTGTTCAACTTTATTTGATATTTGTAGACATAATAAGAAAATTTGGTATAAAGATTAAGAAAAATGTAGTGTAGTAATGATACATAATTTTTCTCCGGGGATTTTTCCGTCATTACATCTCGCAGCTCTGTTCCTTCCTGAATTCTCACGCATTGTACGACAAATGCAAATCTCATCAGCATTGCGTGGAAGAATGTATGAATACGTGAACTACGTAATCATAAAAGAAAACTTTTATACGAGTAGGCGTAACAAAAAATAAAATAAAGAAACGGAACCCCCTCTAGCAGGTTGCAAAAAAAAAAAAAATTAGAAAAAAAAAGTAAGCATACGTAGAGTAATTCTATACGTTTTTTTTATATAATCGCAGAGTATGAAAGATTGAAAGAAAGAAAAAAATGTTAAGAAAAATTAATTTGTGCAATGTTGAAGAAGAAGGACGTATTCGTAGGAGTCATTGCGCTACATTGTAAGTTAAGCATGCGCGCGTGCGCATAAAGACAAGTCAATGCTCTCCACATCTCACACATACAAATATTCGATGAAATTGCGCATGTACGGTTTGGTGCCAATCAAATCGTAATTTATGCCGAAGGAAGAAGCGACGTCAGATGCTCATTTGTCAATGAATTTTTCTCGAACAGCTGTGCGTGTAACTACGGATTTTACATGTTGTCTATTACTGGAAGTACAAGAACGGCACACGAAAAAAGGGACAAGAGAAGAGATGAATGAAAGAATGAAAAAAAACGAAATAATTAATAAAACTTTGTAGCTAAGTAACCGAACGAAAATGAAAAACAGTATGTATATGTGTGTGTGTATATATATATATATATATATATATAGATATATAGATATATAGATATATATATATATATATATATATATAGATATATAGATATATAGATATATATATATATATATATATATATAGAAAACAAAAACATAGTCGGACATTTTTGACCGGTCTTAATGATTACGATAATTATTTTTATCTCTAAGTTTAGGTAGAGCATAAAATACATTTTGTAACTTGAAAAATAAAAAGTGAGGACAGAAAGAAAACAAGAATGCTATATATAAAAAAATAATACAAAAAGTAAATAAATAAAGTAAAAAAAAAAAAAAGTATAATGGAATAAAGCAAGCGAAATACTCGCGCCGCGCGATCCGATGTGAAGTGCATCTCACAATCGTCAACGGAGCGTCAAAGGTTCAAAAAAAGAACAAGAATGAAACGAACAAAGATATTGAAGAGAAAAATGGAAGGGGCTACTCGAACCCGCTACGTCGATTAGATAATAAAATAAAAAAAAAAAATAAAAAATTGATATTAAAAATATTTTATTTTTGATGTATTTTATATGATATGCACCCATTAAGTTGTCGTTGTTTTTCTTTTCTTTTTTTTTTTATTTTTGTGTACAAAATCTTTTATTTAACATTTTCGATATAGTTACAAATATTTTTTTCTACCTTCCTTACCTCACTCACATAAAATATAATACCATTCTGTATAAACAAATTGTTGAATATTTGAACTTTAGTATTTTATTTTCACCCTACCCTATACATACATAAACTTTGATAAAAATTTTCTACGGAAAAATGATTAATTTTATACATTACAATTACAATGCCGTTACAATTAAGATTTTTTTTTTGTTTTTTTTTGTTTTTGTTTTGTTTCGTTTTTGTACAATTTTTTATTGATTATATAATTAGTTTACACATATACAAAGCTAATAAACATCATTTAAACACAATTGCAGCGCTTTGTGCCTTCCTTCTACAATTCAATAGTGCGTATGGATCTTCGATTCTTTTGCTTTTAAATTTGAAATTTTCATTTTATTTTGTCGGCGAGAAAGTCGTCGGATTAAGAATGCGACAGTGCATTTCGCGAATTAGGGGAACTGTATAAGCGACACATTCGTCCCATCCGGGTGATCTCCAGGCACTTTCACGCGTCTCTTTGCGTGACTGTAGGTCCTTGTAGCCTAAATTTTAATGAAATTAAAAATATTTTATCGTTTTAGCATATCTATGATAAAAAAGAAGAAGGTATATTTATTATGAGAATAACGTATCCAATGGAACTTTCACTAATCTCTTATTTAACGAATGAATACTTCATCCAGAGTACATTACTTTCGTCTCAATATATTAATAGTAATTAAACTGGAAAGAATTGAATAATTGTCAATTTAAGTTTGACTAATGCATTCAAACTATTAAACTTATTTTTACGTTTTAAGTTTGTCGTGCAAAGCAACAGCCAAGACAGCGAGAGATTATTGATAAGAATAATTGATCGTTTTTCAATATTTATTCATATGATTATTTACAACAAAAAAGAAAAGAAAATCATTTTAAATGTATTTCGGCAAATTTGTAGAAAAAGCTCTTTTTAAGTAGGCATATCTTTCTTATGAATCCTAACAATAATTTCTTTTAAATTCTTTCGTAATTATAATTCGAAATAAAAAATTTGTCTATTAATCAAATATTTAACTTACACCATATATGATGGACATTGTAAAGACGTCCAATTTGTGAAAAAAATCCAGCAAATGCTTCATCATTATTACGCCTGAAATTGATGGCTCTTGCCCAATTGTTTCCCCATTCGATCATTGTTCCTGGCTTTAAACTATAACTTCGAATTTCGTATTTATTAACGTTATTTCTTGTGACTATTGGTGGCCAGTAACTAAATGCTAATAGATATTGTAAATGCCGTGATCTTAAATAATTACCACGTTCTTTCAAAAGCTTTTGATATGCCTAAATGAAAAATTATGTAAATTATTTTCCATACAAGTAATGTAAATCGAATAAGTAGAATAAATTTCAAATAGAAAATACCGTGTTTTGCTATTAATCAATACTTAGTTTATATGATTTTTATAATTCTATTAAGTTAAAAATATTCATTGCTCGTGTTTAATTATTATCAATTGTTCGTATGTCGCAATTGTATTTAAATATTATGTACTTAATATTATGTACGAGTATTTCATTAATAGCAATAAATAAAAAATATGCACTTTGTATTTTCTCTCTCTCTCTCTCTCTATCTCTCTCTCTCTCTCTATCTCTTGTTTAAAAACTTACATCATCTTTGGCAAGAAGTGCTTGTGCTTTATCAATATTTTGAAATCCTCCACTGTATTGCCATAAATGAAGTGCTTGATCTAAATCTCCTACTTCGACGGTCCATGAGCCAACAAGTTCCAAATTAAGTTCTTGTCTTTTGGAGTGAATATGATTGACATTTTCAGCGCTAAAAATTAACGAATCAATAAATTCATTTTAGACAAAAAAAAAAAAAAAAACATTCATTTTTAGTTGAAATTAGTGTATATTGAATGTTGATGTTATTCATATATATATATATATATATATATATATATATATATAATTATTATTATATAATGATTAAATCGCAAGAGAAATGATAAATTAACCAAAGATTCAAATGAACTTTGGACTAGCGTTGAAAGCTACGAGCAGGAAAATATATTAAAAATATTAAGAAACATTTAATCGTGAACCGTATTATCGTTGTAAATATTTTGATGCGTGCTAAAATTAAATCTACCTTTTAAAATTCAATTCTAAATATTGCGTCTCTCAATTCGATTAACTATTGTATATATATATATATATGCAAAGGAGTTTTTATGTCGCAAGGTCATACGGGCGCTTTATCGTATCTACTTTTGGCACTCACTAATTCGCCAAGTACTTGTCATAAGAGTCAGGACGGATATTGTGCGTGTGAAGGGCGTAGATGACCTGCTTGTCCGACAACATCCTCGAGTGCGGCTCCTTCGTTGGCTCGATTTTCCGCACCAAGAGTTTGCTGAACCATCCTTCGCTTATGTCCAGGCGCTCCGCTGACTTCGTCACACACCTTCGGGAAATAAAAGCAAGGGGTCAGGTGCGCGCACACACACGCGTGCGCGGACATGGCTCGCGTTACACATAAACACCGACAAGTGACAATCACGATGTGTATATACGATGAACGTAGCTCCACTGTGTATTCGAACAGTTTTCAAATTTTAAAGCGAAATACCATGGAGCTTCGGAAATTAGGGCACGCGAATGGATTTAAGAAGATTTTTGGCCATTACCTCGTGCTACTGGCTAGTGGAAAATTCGTTTTGCCGAGGATCGGCTGCAGAGCTCCGAAGTTCCTTCTCATCGAGGCGGCCATTCTTCTAGGAGCCGTCGTGAATCGAGTTCCCGGGTACGCTCGACCAATCGTTGCTTCTATTGATAAAAGCATCGGTGAAGCCATTGCCGGTAGCACAATAAATTTCGCCGGCAAATTCGAAGCTGACGCTTTTTAAATCTTCGATTATGGAGAGCGAGAATTATGTAATGGGACAATAGATTAGATGAATTTTATTTATAAATGAATTGTATTGAGCGAGTAATGAACTGTGATCTTCCAACACCTCAATAATATCGAATGTTTACCTCCTATTCATGTTCTCCTCTTGTTCCGAGCGTTTCACTAATTAATTTATTATTATTATACTGTCGCTTCTCGATATTATCAATATAAATAACCTTATAAAGATAATAAACAATTATAAAATTTTTCATTTTTCATTCGATGCATTGCTTGCTTTAAAGTCATAATAGACTTGTTTTAAACATTTCAACAAAACATTTAATAGAGAAAAAATAATTCAATAATTCGCAATACTTTGAGAGAAATGTGAACAATTTGAATATCGATGTACTATTTGAAATTATCGTGTATTTAAAAATCATCAAACTCTTTCAATTTGAAATAGAAACAAACAGACAAACAAAATATATTAAACTTTTAGAACAGTCGATGTACGAGGATTTTATTTATTGTTTTTTCAATAATCTTCCAAATTTTTATAATTTCCATTAAAGCTAGTTCTGAATTTAACACCGTATCAACTTATTCTAATTTAACACACTTGTTTAAGTATCACATTATATTTCACATTAAGTTCTTTAAATTTATTACAACGTACAATTTTATTAAAAATCGAAAGGAAATGTATAAATATATTAAATAATTCAAATAACATAATCTACAGTATCTAACGTTATTTTATATTTCCTATTTATTATATTTTACTATAATACAATCTTATTATTTTACAATTAATGAATAAAATATATTCAAGTTCAATATTAATTATACAAAAAATTCAATATTTATTGCAGTATCATGTAAATAAATAAGTTTAAACAATTTTCAAGATAAATTCTCTAATTAGAATGAAAAATGTAAAGAATAGTTGAAATAACTTTAAAAATAACTGACTCACTAATTTCTTATACTTTCTTTACATGAAAAAAACTTGAAATTTTCTTTTTGATGAATTTAATGAATGAATGAATGAATAATAGAATAATATAATACTAAATGGGAAAATATTAAATGTGTTTATAGTAAGGCTCATTTAATCTCAAACTAATTAATCCAAGTGTATCAAGTTCTAACTTATCTGATAATAATGTCAACATTATGGCTAATGCGATAGTGTGATAAAAAAATATAAACTGCACCTACAATTCGAATTGAATTTGAACTATCATAAGAAATATATGTATATATAAATTATAATCAATACCATCAGAAAACTTAATAAACAATAATAATAATAATTTTCTAATATTGAAAATAATGAAAAAAAATAAAAATAAAAATAAAAATAGAATACGAACAATAGCATATAATATAAAGTATTTAGTACCAATAGATAGTATAAAATAATATAAAAGGTATATTTTATCAGAATAAAAATCATAATATAAAGTATAATGACAAAATTAATTAATTTTTTATGAAAATAATCATGTTATTATAATATTTATGAAAATAGATTTAATGGAGTTTATGTTGCTAAAACTATGTCATGTTACAAATGTTTGTATCTACATTATAAAGATTATTATCGCATTTCTAACAACTTTTAAAAAGATATTGATGTAAATATAGATTTAAAGCTAATAATTTTAGTTCTCCTTATACATTTTATGATATGTGTATATTATTCAAATATTTAAAACTAATTTTAACACAATCAATACGCATTTGGTTCAAATGTTTTAAATTTGTTGCAATGTATATTATTTGTCAAATTTAACAATTTAATTTTTCTAATTTTCTAATGTTTTTTCTATTCATTTTTAACTATTTAAAATCAATTATGAATACGAATTGTATAATAGATTCGAATAAGTTATAATAGAAATTCAATCAATTCTTTTCTTCATTTTAGCAGAGCATAGTATAATCTCAATATATTTATCTTATCTATAGGTCGTTTATTTGAAAAATCATATTTATATGAATAATTTTATATTATAATAATTCATTTGTTGAAAAACTAATAAAATAAATTAAATAATCGTTAAATCACAGGAAGAATACACATTGCTTATTTATTGTATAATTTTCTGTAAGATATTTTCAATAGATTCGAATGTAATAAGATAAATTTCAAAATAACGAATGATTTCTGTATGGAGCATGAGAGAGCCAATCAGAGATTTTACTTTCATTTTGTTAGAAAATTAATACTATTTAGCTCCAAAACGTTTTCCATACATCATTGCAGTGTAATTTTTAGAGTACGTGGAAATACGTGGAGTCATATTAATTTTTAACAAGCGAATATATAATTCCAACAATTATCTACGACAAGATTCTATAATAAAAAGGTAAAACAATAAAAACGGAGCTCTTCTTCATAATTTTCAATAACACCGTATGAATACTAGAAATGGAAAGTTACAAATGTGCTTACATGTACAAAATAAGGTTCATTTTTGAAAAACCAATATATCTGAAATAACGTCAATACACATAAATGTTTGAGATATTTAATGAAAATAATAAGAACTATAATAAATTATAGTTTTTTTTCTTTTGCATTAATTATTGATATATCAAGTATGTGATATTAGAAACCGATAGTTTACTTTCATATTCTAGTTTTAGTCAATAAATTGTTAAATTCAAATAATTAGATATTTTGAATATTATGATTTTATTGTTCAATAGTAGTTTTCTATGGAAAACATAAATTTACATTTTAAATTTTAATACATAACCTCAAACGTGTTATACCGAAAATTCTTGAACATTCTATTCAACATAAAAATTGTAAAACCAAGACTGTTTAATTGACAAATTACAATTATATTTAAACAAAAAAAAATAGCAAAAGCTTATGACAAACGGTAATGATTTATTGTAATAATTTTGTATTCGATATTTAATTTAATTTTACTTTTTCATTTATTTTTAGGCAACAGCATGGCAAACTTACCAATTAGTAATGAAAATATGCAACAGTTTAAAAACTTTATTGAGCTATGCAATAAAGAACCATCAATCATTAATCATCCGCAATTAGAGTTCTTTAAAAACTTTATCTCTAAATTAGGAGGCAAAATTCCAAATTCTGAAGAATGTAATTATGCAGGTAAACATTTTGATTATAAGACTAATGTTATAGATTATAAAATTAATTATTTTATTAGAATTTATCATTAAATATTTTATTTCATTTGTTGTTAATTTGATAAATGTAGATTTATAAATTTGTAATTAATTCACTTTATTATAAAAAATAAAATTTCTTGGTATAAATAATATTTTAATTGATAATGTAATTTCATTTAAAAATATTTCAATGATTTTTTATAAAAGCTGATGGTGATGTACTTGAGCCAATGGGCGACTACAATTGTCAACCGACAGACGAGCAAATAGAGAAATCAGAAGAAAAATATTTAGAAGCTGTAGCAGCATTTAAAGACAATGATTTCGAAAAAACTATTAAACTTTGTACAGAAGCAATACTCTTAAATCCACAATCATCCTTCTTATATTCCAAAAGAGGACAAGCCTATTTGCAAATTAATAAACCACGCTTATGTATTCGTGATTGTAATCGTGCTCTCGACTTGAATCCTGATAGCCATATAGCCTATGAGTTTCGTGGCAACAGTTACCAACTTCTTGGAAAGTATGCAGATGCAGAGAGAGACTTAAGCAAGGCTTCTAAGTTAAGTTTAACTAATGTAAGTATAACTTTATATTAATAATTTGTATATTTTCCTTTAAAGCTTTTATACTAAACATGTTTAGTATAATAAAAATAAATACTTACCTTAATACTTAACTTTTATTTATATTACATACAGTGATATATAAATTATTTAGCTCAAAATTTTTTTATAATTTTTAAATAATATTTAATTACATTAAAATATACATATTTAGGTGTAACTGCGCAGAACAAATGTTTTGAGAAATATTTTTAATTGGTATGAGGAATTATACTAATGTAACAACAAACATATTTTTTTTTTTAAATTATTACAATTCTGCATTTTGTGCTATTAAAATACAATAATATATTTATACATAGGCAGTATTCACAGAACGCAAATATTTAGAAATAAATTTAATTTATATATATATTCATTTATTTGTAACCTCTAGTATTATTAGTTATTTTATTAATTATCTTCACCTTCGAAGGAACTTTAATTATTTTATAATAAAACTATTATTTTCTAATGAAAAATTACAAACTAAGTACTAATAAGGATTTCTTAAGTATTGAGAAATAATTTCAGCTTTTTTGATATATAAGTATGAAATTTGTAAATTACTAATCTAAAAGAAAGTAATTATTTTCCCCATTTCCTTTAAGTAAATAATAATAATAATATAATAAACTCGGAACAAAGTTGCAAAATATTATTACAATTATTGTTTCATTTAAATATAAATAGATGTAATTATGTCATATTTATAAGGTACAAAGATTTATTAGAGGAACAATAAAAATAATGAATTAGATTATTGTCAACTCTGTACTTTATCTATTATTATGAATGTAGTTTTATTAATTAAGACATAGTCTATTTTATTGAAGAAAAGTAAAAAATTTCTTCTCTTGTTTCGCTCATACTTTCTTTGTCATTCTCACATATTTTCACAGTTGAGAAAATTTATCATAAAATAGGCTAAATTAATTAACATTATAACATAACAATCTGCATATTAAATATGCAGAAAAAAATAATTAATATTTTAATATAATTCAACAGTAATTTTATTTTCAATGTGCATACTGAAATTTATTTTATGAACTTCATTACAAGTATGTCTATTATTACAGCAAATTTTTTATTTTTTAAAAAATATGAAATTTGTTTGAAACAAATTAAGATATAAGTAAGCTAATGTCTAAGTTATATCAAATAAAATTTCTTTAATGCATTCACCAGTATTAGATAAAAAATAAATAAAAAAAAAAAAAATCATGTTATAAATAATATATTTTATCCAAATGGCAACGTCTGTAAAATAATAAAATTTTTTGAAAAACTATCAAAGGTCCGGGTATAGTAGGAAGCGTAAAGTACTTCAAAGTCCTCTTTACTTATACACGAAAATCTTTGTTCATCACATTTATTAATCCTCGTTTAATAATCTTTTCATATTCGTTTTGATGTGTTCTTTAATGACAAACTATAACCATTGGTATCACTATAATATAATTTTTTAAGCTATGGCCAAAAGAAACCAACAAAGAGTGTTTGTTTTTGTTTCATTTATTTAGCTCAATGTTTATATAATTGGCAGACCAGCTACCACTGCAGGTATTGACTGTAATTTCTTAGCATAAAACTACCAAAACGTCGTACAGAATTCTTAAAGAATAATTTCTGTATTTTTTCGTTGCTGAATTTTTATGTATCGTAAAGATGTATCTTTGTTATTATATTTAAAAACATTCTCAAGCATGACTCCGTTATTTCAACGATTTGATTAAGCTGATGTGAGGCAATCCATTTATTTTTATTGAAAAAAAAGAAGAAAAAATGATAAAGAAAAAAGAAAAAAAATAAACAAAAATAATCAATAGAATAACAAGCTTTGTATTTAATGTGGCTTATGATTTACGTTTTCTAGAAGCGTAATTAAACCATGCCCAAAGCATATATTATCGGATAATATAAAGACCGAACTCTTTTTAAAATTAGAATTTTTCATTAAATGAATTATTATTTTACTTAAAAACGATAATAAGGCTGCCACATATTTTATTCGTTTATTATTTCATTCCTGTTTCTCTATCTCCGTTTCTCTCAATTACTATTATTGGTAGTTTTTATTTTTTTTTTTTTTTTTTTTTTTTTGCTCAATAAAGTATTAAATCGTTTAGAAGGAGCAAATACTCATCGACTAATGAATCCTAGGAAATTTCTTGCTATTGGAAGGAAAGACAAGTTACGACTTGAAAAAGAGCAAGTGCTTTGAAATAGCAGAATATCGTTCCTCATCTCGCCTCTTTTCTCAACTCATTGATAATCTCGCAGCTCCGCTCTTCGCTGGTGATTTTTGACCTTGTTGTGCTTGTCCCAATTGCTCTGGAGTCTTTGAGGCGGCGGCACTCTGAGCGGCAATAGCAGCAGCCGCGGCTGCAGCCACAGCCTCTTCTTCATTGTGCACAGCAATGTCGACGTTTTTCTTGTACTTGCCTACGAGTTCGGGCAGGTCGTAGGCAATGGCGACGTCGAGCCTATTAATTGGACATCCTCGGAAATAGGTGCAAGTGGAGCTAAGAAGAGGAAATTCGTAAAGTGCATTCAGATGGAAAAAGTCTTGATAGACGTCCGGATCGGGGAGGTCATAACGCGATATGTTTGTCAAGGTGCTGAGGCCTGCGTAAATGTGATAGTCTTGAGGATTCTCGATAATTTGATCGCTAATATCTTTCTTCTTTGCGAAGAAGCTCTTTTGATTGTAGTAAGTCGTCAGGTAACAGTCCACCATTTTTGCGTGATTACGCACTCTTACCTAAAACGTCATATTTTACATCATACTTATATTTATTAATTATTACGATTTTTACTCGTCATACTAATTTAGACTTACAGCAAATCTTCTAGCGCTAGCAATTTTGTGCTCGACTCGCTTATCGATGGCAGACCGAAGATCGCGAAGAAAGGCTCGTTCCTGGGCATAAAGTAGCCTCGTTGGTGCCCCCGCTTCGTATGGTATGGACCAGAGGGATGCTGAGTACATTATTGGTGGTTCGGCGCTTGACATGAGCGGTGAAATGTTCCATATAAGCGCGCCCTGAACTCTCATTAATTCCTCAGGTTTTACTTGATCAGCTTTGTTCAAAATCATTCTCGTCTGTGGAAGCATTTCATTGTCGATATTATGGACTTAGGATTAATTTGGATTGTATGTAGAGAAGTTTTATTTGTTTTATTAACCTGGTATTCGCGCCCCTTAAGTTGATCGAGAATGGCTTCGGTCTCAGGGCCAACGTCGAGTTTGGACGGATCATAAACCAGAAATATGATGTCTGCTCTATCAATGAACCATTGGCAAGCGTCGTTAAATGGAAAGACTCGCTGTACTTGTTTGCGAATTTCCAAAATTCCAGGAATTTCGACAATGTTTACCTATTTACGCGATACTTTTAGAATAGTTCGCTAGTAAGTTTCAAGTATTATACTTTATTATTAAACGTATGACTCTACCTTTTCTAATAATTTATTATTCAGTTTCACGCCTCTAAGACGATCTAACAGTCCTTGGCCAAACTTTTGAAGGCCAGAAAATGTCCAGTCCGCGGCTAATTGTGTTCCATCTAATATTTCTTCTTCTTCTCCGTGCATTAAGATATTAAAGTAAGCTGGAGACGGCTCGGCACCTATAATCAACACATATGTATATTTATTGTATGTAGTATGATTAACGATTTACGTTATATAAAGGTTATTGGAGCTTTTCGAGTAAAAGACATTCATATGCTATAATCGTTTGATTATGTTTGTAATAAAATATTTATTAGTAATTGTACACTTTTAGCTACATATATACCTGTCCTTAATGAAATTGGTTTGTATTCTATATCCAATAAGTAGTTTATGATCGATGATTTTCCTCCACTCCATGGACCCATAAATAACACTAGAGGTTTTGAAAATATTTCTGGATCTACAATGGAAGAAAATTGGAAGTTTTAACTTTTGCATTAAAAATAATTCTTGATTAAATAATTATTTTATTTAAATAAATTATTTTATTTAGGCTCTTTTCATTTACTGTCGTGCCACTAATAATAATATACTGACAAACCTCCGAAATGACGATTGCTGAGATCTCTATATTTATACAAGGTTTCCAATGGTTTAATTGCATTGTCATACAGCCTTTTTAAATCTCTCAGCACAATGTCGGAAACTTTATCGATTGCCTTTTCTTTATCTTCGTTTTCTTCGTCCAGTTTCAGCAATTGATTTACGTGATCTCGAGGTCTCAAAACTTCCGGAATTTCAATTTCCATAATCAGTTCCTCCTCTTCAGGACTTGATTGTTCATCCTCTTCGCTTCCATTATTTCCTAAATTACAAATTATAAAATAAATATTAGATTTAAAATATTCATATTCTATAAAAAAAATTCAATATGATAAATCGAAGAATCTCAAATCGATACTTCATTACCTTCGGATTTTCCATCTTGTTCTTCATTGGATTCCTCGTTATTTTCAACGCTACTTTTCAGCGAAGCTATAGACTGCTTAACTATAACTTCTTCCTCGATGGATTTTCTCTCGTCCTCGTTGCTCTCATTCTCAGGTACAATTTCCGTACTACTCTCCTCAACCGTTTCCTCTACGGATATTCTTTCATTTGTGTCATCGGCTTCGTTATCATTAGCATTTTCTTCTGTTTTCAGCTCGTCAGACTCAGCATTGTCGGTAGAATTGTCGTCAATGTCGTTGTCGTTGATCTCGTTGATATCGTCATTTTGAACAGAATCCATATTACTCTGCTCATCGGATTCCTCATTATCAGCATCGTCTATCCGTTTTTCTTGGGAATTATCTGCATCAACTTCTGCAATAGCGAAGAATATTTTATTTATAGCTCCAATATTTTGTACGTAAATCTTACAATGATTATTATAAAAATTTTGTTTCATCGATGCTATTAAAATTAAATATCGATCAATCATGAAAAAGTCCATTAATTCAAATAACTACATATATGCATTTTTCCATCAAAAAAAAAAAAAAAAAACTCGAATGATTTTCTAAATTAACTTTATTTAAAATATATTGTACATTAAAAAACGTATATCAATAATTTTAGTAATCTGATTCGAATATGATTTTTAAAATTCTCGTATTTGCAAACAATTTTAAAAACTTGCCATTCGTTACTATTCATTAAGTGAATTTTTTAATTTGTGCTTTAATATGTAAATTATAACAATAATAAATTATTTAAACCAAACCATTCTCCTGATTATCATCCTCCGGTTCGCTAGTTATTTCTACCGTCTCTAGATCTTGGTCGACTTCGTTCTCGTTTTCCTCGCTTTTGCCGTCCTGCCCGTCGTCACCGCCATCGTGATCCTCTACCGAAGTGTCGCGCCTCTCTCTGCTTACCGATTTTTCAATCTATGGAGCATAATTTAATTAAACTTGGAATTGCTTTTCGTGGGAAGTAACGGACTAATGAAAAAAAAAAACCGCCATTATACGCTCTTTCGAGAAGTAAAATGTGCTCGTCTGTGGAGCAATTATGTTAAGTAACGAACAGTGATAGATTTATACGAGACATACAAATCCTTACCATTTCATCTTTTTCGAATTGCATTTATCGTTAAAAAAATTTCACATTCACAACCTTATTCATTATTTTTCCTCTGACTCGTGTTTGAATTTAACATTTTTCACAAATTAGAATCCAACAATCGATCAATTTCGCATATTTTCACTTCTATTACAATTACTGTCGTGATATAATATTAGACAATAGGTGTATCATGCATTTTCAAGTCGTTGACTTTGTAAAGAAGAGAATAGGTGTGAAATTTCGAAATTTATTTTACTTAATTACTTAATAACTCGTGAAAATCAGGAATACAAGCGAACGTAAAAGACTCGCAAACAAGTTGTGTTTGTGACGTTACCTACGCATCATCGCCGTTGAGTTATTGTCGTGATTCAATAGGATAATTGCAATGATCCCTAAAAGGGCTCCAAGGGCGAACACCTTAGTGACGTTTTTGAGTCGCGGAGCTTCGTAACCAATCCGTTTTCCGCATAGCCGTTGATCCTTCTATTACCATCGTTTATCGATAAGATAATTGAAATGGAGGGTACACTCGAGCTTGGATCTCATTATATATTCGCGTTATTTGAATAGTCAAATTAGATTAATCTGATTATATTTCTCTCTCCTGTCTCCTTCCTATTCAGTGTCTTGCATACTGCACCGTCTTGTTTGTTGTTCATTAAGATCGTATAAAGAATCGACTACGCGCGAAATATCAGAAGCTAAGTAATCTGTGCCACTGTGTCTATCCCATATTATTTAGCTATTTGCCGGATATTATAACTATTTTCTTGCTAATTATATTTTTTCAACTTGTTTGTTTATCATAATACGTGTTTCAAAGAGCGAGAATCTTCATGTCGTGAATATGCCATATTGCATTATTGTTTTTATTTGTGAAATAAGAAAAATTCATTTATGTTAGTGATATAAACGAGTGCTTTAGAAAAATCTTTACATACTCGGCTAATGATTACTTTATTTCCATGTACAAAATCCCAACAAATGCTTTCCCAGGCATTGCACAGCTAACAATATTACTTTATTGTTTCGCGTACAAAAAGTAGCAATAGTTATTTATATCGTAATCCAAATGCTTTGATAATTATAAATAATTCAATTTAAACCTATTGTACATAAGGTTGTGTTGTTTAATACGTAAGATGAAAAATAAATGTAAAACAACAAATCGCAACAGCTGCACATGATCGTATAAGCGAGGGTCGAGCGTATCGTTTAAAAATAGTCGGAAATCTGTTAAACTTTAAAATATCTATCAAAGCGCTAGAGTGTAGTTTTAAACGTTATAAATATCAGACAGGCGTTGTTCAATTGTGTATCGAGGACTTATCGTGTAAATATCACAATCAATCCTCATTGTTATTCGCAATCATTCCCCATTACCATAATTTACAAAACCGATATATTTTTTCTTCTTGATGAATATTGAATTTCATTGAAATATATTGGTCTATGCCTGTGCGTTCGCGCGCACGCACGCATAGACAATATTTTTCACTTGGAAGTCGTCACGCATTACTCGCCGACGCTTCAATTTGTTATTTTGAGACTTTAAGGTTACAGTCTAGGTATCTTGTATAGTAGTTATGCGTTAATTTTGACTTTGGTAAGATTTTTAATTTAAAACGCGAATTTATTTTTAAACGCTCAAAAGCGATCTAATTTGAAGCAATGCAAATTAGTTGTACTAGAGTAAATGCGCTTAAGAAATCATGGAGCGATAACAGGATTAACAATTATCATCGATTGAATATAAATCTTTTAATTACATTTAAATCACTTTCTAATAAAATACCGCATAATGTATATTATAAATTTTGCGACTGTTAAAACTTACATTTTCGTTCGCATCGGGTGCCAATTCATCTTCTAGTCCTTCGTCATTATTCTCAGCGATTTCCAAGTCCTCGTCGCTCAACAGCTCCTGAGATCCTTCTAAAGAATTCCCAATATTTCTAATAGAATCAAGATTTTAAATTTTTAAAGTTCAATGGTTTAAAATGTTTGAAGCAGGCCGTATGACTAATGTCGACTATAAATATAGGAACATTCAGTTTTATTTTTAATAAATAAGATTTGATGTTGTTTTAACGCTAAAATAATCTAAAGAGAAAATTATGACGTTAAAACGAATTAATACTAATATTGACTATATAGAAATAAATTGAATCTGGAATGTCAATTTTTATAAATTATTCATTCATTGAATAATCGAATATAGGATACAATAATTTAATAAATACTTTGTCATGCGTTTAGATAAAAATTTAACAAAAACTGACGCTTAACGTTTATTAAAAATGTTTTATCTGTTTAGAAAATATTTATATTTTAATTTACAAAATTCAACATGTTTTTGATTATTGAAATTTTCTGCAACTATACGATTATAACGTAAACAATGTGGCATCTAAAACTGTTCACTTTTATTCTGGTATTAATAGTTATATAATTATGGTTGATCTTTAATTTGAAATTAAAAAATTTACAAATTCTATTAAAACCGTGACATTCATATTTTTAACGTTTACTTTAAATATAATGAAAATATTAAACAATATGTGCGCAACTATATATTGTACAAAAAGTAAAAATAAAAAATTTAAAATATAAAATACTTCAATCCTATTCAATTCTATCAACAAAGATATTTTCAAATATTATCAGGTTTTGGTCAATATTTAAACTTGGAAATTCTTTAATAATTTATCCAATAAATTAAATTTACAGTACATGTTATTGTATAATTCGCTATTTTTACTTTTTTTTCTTCTTCTTCTATTTTAACTACTGTGATCAAATTTTATTTTAAATATAGGTAATATTAAGTGATTTTTGACACATACACGTGTGACACTAGCTGATGCCAAAATGAAGCAATATAATGTTGGAATTGTATATTCGATACACATGTATTAAAAACTATTTATGAAATTTGAGTGAATGCATTAGTACTAGATCGGTATATCATATATTTGTTAATATAAAATATTGTTGGAATGAAATTAAACGAATAGGAGTTTTATTTTCATTAAAGACGAATATGGGGTATGTTATTTTTTTTTTTTTTTTTTTTGGAAATAATTAAATATAATGTTATTTTAATAAAATTATTTAAATTACAAGTTGATGGAAAAACTATTCTTTGCAATATCATTACCCTATCTAATTTATTCAAATTGTACTATTCGATGAAGCCGTACTTGACATTATTGTGAAAATACTATGTTTTTAAGATTATTTTTAATAGAGTTTATTTATTTATTTAATTTTTTTTGTAATCGATTTATTTAACCCCAATCAATTTTAAATTATTGATCAATTTTGATTTATTATGCTTATTAATTTGTCTGCAAAAATATTGTTATTTAAGCTTTGTTTTTTCTTTTTAGATATGAACATATTAGAGAGATTAAAAAAATTAATTAAAAAAATAATGAAACGGTAACATTAGGTATTATTTCAATTCAATTATTAAATGTAATTGTGAGATATAAATGTATTTCAATAGAAGACTTATATAATTGGTAATTTAAAAGAAAAAGAAAATAAATATTTGATTATTAAATTATCAATGACAAAAATTCTACTTGAGAAAGTACTTATAATTATAATACACTTGTTGAAAACTTTATTGTACAACTCTAAAACTTATTAAAAAATTGTATATTTTCAAATTTCATAGTCTATATTAAAATCAGTTATTTTTCAAATAAAAGTGTATAGATAGAAATAAAATTTTATTTTCAGTATTTTATGATACTAAACTTTTTAAAATTTTACTTGTAAAAAAAAAATTGCAGTTCAATTCTGCCTCTGTTAAGTAATAACTATTTAGTTGTGCCGGATTTAATTTAAATTAGGTAGAGTTCGATTCATGATGAAATTGTTTCTTATATTAAGAATAGCAAGTGCTAGGATACTTTTAAAATTTTGAAGTTGCAATTTGGTTATCAAAATCTTTTCATTTAAAAGGAATATTTCACCTTGTTTTTTTTTTGTTTTTTTTTTGTAATTCAACAAAGTTAAATAATAAAGTTGAATAAAGTGATTAACTATTCATGACAGTTACATTTAACAATTTCTCCATTAACTACTATATAAAGGTTAAAACAGTTTTAATTGATGGAAATGATTAATTTTATAATTTTTAAGTTAGATTTAATGCTACTTCGTACCCTTAAACTTTACCTGTGCCCAAATCCTTCAGAGCTTTTTCAATGTAAGGCCGACATTGGTCCTCCGAGGGAACTTTTTCTAGTTCTTCACCTTGCACACCTATCCGTTTAAAACGAATATTTTTGTACGATTAATTTAAAATCGGATATTTGCATCCTTATTGTTATGAATTTGAAAAGTGGAGAAATGCGCATTGTTGTGTGGACACTTTAATAACTACTTGATTCTAGAATTACGATCAGTAGGAATATTATAATATTCGTATGCTGTGATTAATCGCCATCAAATTACATTTTATGAACATAACGAAGAAAACAAAGAAGAAATAAAATAATAAAATACGGTGGTCGAGAACAATGAATCACTCGATTAATTTACAAGTTAAAACGGTCAACTATTGTATTTTATTGGTATCCCAATTACAAATTCTCACGCCTCTCTATTGAGCGAAATTGTTTATCATATTATTCTGCTTTATTCTGAAATTTTTAGAAGATACGGCAGTGGCATACATCTCCGGAGTAATGATCCAGAAAATTGAATACGATTGAAAGTCAATCGAGTGAAAGAGTGAAACGTCGCCTATAAGCGCTCTACGTTATTAGAAATATTCGGTTTTACGTTGATGCAACAACGGATATTTGCCAGAGTTGCTAGTCATGGCTCGTCAGTGTCTAGCCGACAAAATCCATTCGTTGACGCAAGTTTTAAATTCTTAGATCAGTAATTATTCATAGTCGCAATGGCCGACTGTGAAAGGAAACTGTCTTTCATTAGGAAGTACTTAGTTATGTATTTAAGAGGACGGCTGTTTAATAATATAAATTATTGTTCAATTAAATAACGGTTTGTTTTAAGATTTTCAAAAATATCTTTACGATATATTATGTATGCTTTTATCAAATATAAATTTCACGTCAAGTGGCAATAGTTAATTATTTAAACTGTATAATTGACCGATAAGAACTTAAATTTTTTTTTCTTTTTCATGTAATATTTAATTTAAAACAAAATTGGAAATTCGGATACTAATTATGACTAAAATTAAATAAATAAATAAAAAAATTATTGCACTATATTTTATATAAGAATATATTACATATCGTAACTAATCCTTAATTTAGTTAATAATTATTATAACATGATTGATTTTAATTTTAATATGAAATATATATCACTAATTTTTAAATGTAAAATACGTGCTTTGGAGAATGACAAATATATATTTATAAAGTTAAAAAATTTTGCTTTTTAATTTTATTTTACAAATTTATCTTAATTTTCTCGTAATCTTTTGGCAAATAAATATATGCATCGAAATAATTAAATGCAAAATAATGTTTTCGAACTGTAATAAACAATATCTTATTATTGTGAGACTATATTGTAACATGTTGTCTTAGAAATATTTAAAAGTCATATTTTATAATATTATTATATAATATTATCATATACTTTTGTTAATTCATTTAGCAAAAATGTTTGATACGATTTTGTAAATTCAGCACTCTTCTTTGTAATTTTATCGATAACACTAACACAACTAAGAATATTTTATTTTAAATAGATCTTTGAACGGAAGCTGATGTGTTTATATAAAGAATACAAATTTTTATTATAAAATAGAAAATCCATAGCACGTAATAATATTCTTAAATTTATTGCGCATGAATCACTGAGTACTTTGATATTAGCAAAATCAACGGATTCCCCTAGAACTTATTACTTTAATATTATATTCCTCATTTGATAATTCTAATATATTATAAAATAAACGATTAAAGTATCGCCGATTTTTTAAGTTAGAGCTAATTTATTATTTTTTCATTAGTTTAAGAGCTTTTTGCTTATGATCGCTAGCTATTATCTGATCTGATATGATTATAATTAATAATTATTTTTGCAAGGCACTACTAATTTTACTATAAATTTATATCATCTTGCATACAGATGCACGTCGGTATAATAAGCTCACATTGACTATCATCAATAATTTATTAAAGCATTGGTGCGAGTACTAACTGAATAATAATTAGCGTACAAAGTAGCCTATCCTCGAGGTCTTTTTAGGGAATTCGCAAGTGAGATAAGTTCGGACGAAAATTCAGTTGGGTCGAGGTTCGATCGGGTAAACTCGGGAGGATTTGGCCGGGGAAAAAACCAATTTACTCATAGATGCTACCTGGGACGAGGCCGAATATTCTAACTTTAGCGTTGGGTAGGCGGCATTCGGCTCGTCTCCACGAACGCGCTTCTCTTGAAAATGGTTTTTCTATTCAGTCGTATGCGCGTCTCGACGTGTCTTTCCTTCTACTGATAAGACCATCTAACATGATAATAGCTATATTCGATTTTTTTTTTTTTTTTTTTTTTTTTTTTTTTTTTTTGTTCATTGAAAACAAGATGTTCAAATTCATTCGTCTAGTCTATATTCCGCGTGTATTTAGAGTTAAAAAGTTATCTTTGTCCTCTTCCGAACTAGCAGTTAATGAAACGAATGAAAATCTACATATATTTCTATTTGAAATTGATCGACGTTGATAAAAATTTAGCTTTATTTTCATATAAGATTTCGTTAGATGAATTTCCAGCAATATTAAATGACGTTAAGAGACTTATATAATTCATCAGCACGTGAGAATGGTATTCTTGCAAAAATTTTAGACTAAAAATGGATAAAAATCTTTTTTTCATAAAATATTTACAAAAAAATTAGAAATTGGGCATTAAACGGGTTTGTCTATTTAACTTTTAAATTTTTAAATAAAATGTATAGGTTCAAGTTTTTATGAATGAAAAAAAGAAAATAATAAATAAATACAATTATTGCCAATGGATTAAATTATAGTTCCATTCCTCTGATATATTTTTATTTTCCATATTTATACATTTATGTCGTCAATAAGTTGCGATACTCATCGGAACAAGAAGAGTTAAGAGATTAAAATTTGCTTTTATCGTATATGCCTATTCTTATCTCTCCCTTTTCTTTAGTTGGAACCTTATAAAAAGCATCGAATTTACCACTGTTACTTTATTCATTGAGTACATATATTAAAAATTAGTTTTTAGTATTAAATATTACTTTGTTGGCTATGTTGCGTTATTAAATCGATAACTTGTGAAGGGTTATTTCATTTAATAATGTCGCAAAAACTTGAATAATAACCATGACTACTGACAATTGACTACTCTAAAACATATTTTGAATGTAACAAATTTCTTAATGCACAAAATTATGAAGGAAACTATTTTTTAAGCATTTTCTTTTATTTTTCCAAGATTAAATATGACGCGAAGTAGTAAAATCAACTGCTATTAATACATTGTGGAATATCTATTAAAAACTGACATCGAACACTTTGTAACAAACATCAATCAGTTAAAAGCATGCCAATCAGTTAAAAAGTATATATATATGTAAATATTAAAAAAAAAAATTGTTCATTATATTCTTATACTGATCTTTAATAATTATTATTAATGAAATATTTAAACGGCTGTTTTTTTTTTATGGTTTATTTATAAAAATAATAATATCTGGAACGTAGTATATTATTTATAAAGTCTTCCGAATAATAATGTACAATTTATAAGTTCAAAGCTTTCTTCTTTTCTTTTAATGATTTATTTTATATATATGAATAAGTATTTAATGCATAAATCATGTAGTTCCATGTAATTTTAGTTTTAAAAAACTATTTATATAATTGAGGAGCATTTGTGTTGAAATTCGCATAGAAATGACAGAACTTTTAATATTTGTAATATTTCCAAAAAGTTAGCTTCATTAACAAAAGATAATGTTTATTCGTAATATTATATATTTGCAAAGAATGATCTATTCGAATTCTAATGACGAATAAACTTTTATTTTATATTTCATTTTAAATCTAATACGAATAAATGATCTCCGTGGCTTAATAATTATCATAAGACATGTTAAAATAATTCTTTTATTAAGGAAATTTTGAGAAAAAGATTACAATTAAATTATAGCATTTATTTTGATTGCACAATTATTTTCAATGGGCATAATTCATGAGATAGCAATTTAAATACGTGCCAAAAAAGAAAATTCGCAATTCGATTATCGCCGGTGACTTTGACACTTCCAGCGATTATATATGATCTATGCAGTCATCCGAGCGTCTCGCCTAGGTTACATCTTGGTCGTTTTTATAATTAACGTTGCCAACCTGACCGTGATCGACGCGAATGCTCCGTCATCGGCAGCGCGACAGGGGTATTCAATGTCAAAATTGTTTCGTTAGGTAAGTACCAAACGAATGGGACAAGCAACAAAAAGCTCGTGCCCTATGTAATTACCACTGCGCATGCGCGACATTTAATAAGATTCTGCCGAGTGGGGGTAAGTTAAAGTTAGGAGATCGACGTCTGTTACTACTGCAAATTTTAAAGACTTAATATATGTATCAACTGTGTATCGTTTCGACCGTCTGCTCTGAAAATACTCAATATATGTATTGTTACCTAACACCTGCATATTGTATATTAATTATCAAGCGAATAGTAATGAATTAATGAATATAAAATGTTGTCCATTCAATTAAAATGTTACGATTATACCACTGTAATGATTGAGTATTTCATACAGTATTGTTTAATATTTTATGGAAAAATTATATTTATAATTCTTAATTGCATTAAGAAAATTAATATAGTAATATAACTGTTTATCATTGGTTTATCATGAAATTATTATAATTTACATATTATATATTACTAGGTATTATATTTACGAGAAATTTACAGTTGAGTAATTCAAAAAAATGACTAGGTAATGAAAAGCAATGATTATTTGAAAATTTATTGTTATATCCATTATAAAAGCAAACGCAATTCGAAATTTTAAGCATTTTATGCCTAAACAAGAATTTAATATTATCAGATTCCATTATAATGAGTTAATACATTTCTTTATTATAAGATAAAAAAAAAAAAATGAAATACTGACCTAGAAGAGTTAAAATATCATGATAGAAATTCTTCTAAAACATTCTATAATAAAGGACATATTCACTGTAATGTAAACACGTTCATGTCTAAAATATTATCGGAAACAGTCCGATGTTTTGCAAACAATCTGAAAATTTAAAAAATTTAAACATCTCTCTTGTACACTTTGTTATTTAAAAAAATGTACTATGTTTTCTTTTCTATTGAAACTTATTTAGCTCAGTTATTATTTGAAATATTACTAACACTTTACTCGATAAAATCTTTCGTCAAAATCTCCACTTAAAAATAATTTAATACTATAATTAAATATTAATTATTGAAATCGTTACTAATAAAAGTATAGATTCTTTACATTATCGAAAAGATACTAAACAATTATTATTTATTTTTAAATGAAATATCATATAACGTAGATCAGACGATTGTTTTAATTTAAAATTAAAAGAATTTGAAGATGATTTAATTTAAAGCTAATCAAGAAGATCATATAAAAATCCTAAATTATGAATATTTAAATATTTATATCTAGTCAAACAAAATAAAACAAAACAAAAAAACAAAAACAAAAACAATTAATATTTCAAGGAAACATAATAATTATATATTAACCATTAAAAACAAATTCTCAAATTATCGATGTAATATTTTGTAAATTTAATAAATATAGTGCTTTAAAGGCCTAATTGCTTAAAATAACTAAAAAAATTAGTATAATTTTACAGTTTAGTAATATATGCTACTCAAATGCATACTATTTATTATAAAATCGTATGTTTAAAAATCATATATAATGAAAGATTATCTTTAAATAAACGAAATTTACATGTTATTAAAGTGTTAAGAAATTTAATGTTAAATATAGATAATATTATATTTGACTATTACCTAAAATAAAATTTGGAACAGAATTGTTCGTGAGTTAATTGGAATGAATACATAGATTAAAATCAAAAAGAAAAATTTTAATTCTGTTTATTCTAAAGTTTGATGTAAAAATTACCATTTGATTAATATTATTAATGCAATATTATATGTAGAAAATAACAGTGAAATATGTATAATTGTAAAATGGCATTGAAATTTTAGTAATTATGTACAGAATTATTTGTTTTCTTTAATGATGCGCTTGATAAAATGTCATTGAATAAATATTATATATAATATTGAAAAAGAATAAAGTTATAAAATTTTAATCTTGACTTTTTATAAATTTTTTTATATATCAAATATGCATAAGCTTTGTACATAATTTTTTTGCTTTTGACATTTTCTTTTTCTTATTAATTAATGCAAAGTTTTTTATTTTTACACAATTTGCTTGCGAATTTTACAAAATATATTATTTGGTGGTCATATGAAATAGCTCATATTTCGTACTAGAATCTTAAATAAGAATTTTAATAAATTAATTGTGCACATTGAAAAATAGAATTCTTTACTCTTTTAGTGTCCTACAGCAGGACGGGAACATTTTAAAAGAAAATTTACGCACACGCGCGCGCGCGCGCGCACACCCACCCACCCACACACACACACACACACACACACACACACACACATGCACACAGCTGGTACAAGTGTAAAATTTGAGAATTTTCTAATATTTTTAATTAAATTCTCAATATTATTAGTCAGTCTTACACAACGAGTATTCCTTCACATCATTTACGTAATTGGCTCGCGTCACTAAACGTGACTGTTCACGATCCAAAAATCTTATCACGAAATTCGATTAAACAATATATAATTTAATAACGATCACTATTAAAAAATAAATGTGATTTCATTTTTAATTAAGCGAGCAACTGTTTGATAATGAAATAAATGTGGTTAAAATTATAAATTATTAAGTACATAACAATATTTAACTCAACATCTTACGTAATATTATTAAGATTAAGGTGATCTTTATTTTTTAATTGATAATAATTATTTAAAACGGATAAAAATTGAATGGCATAATAAATAAATTACATTAATCATATCATGATTTGTATATTAAAATTTTTAAATTATTTATACAAATTTTTAACTGTAAATAACAAATTATTAAATCAAACTTGAAGGATCGTAGATGATAGAAGGGTAGTACGTGTTGATCAAGCAACATTCATATCTTTATAATCGAATGAGTCAATATTGGTAAGACATATATTTATATGCATACTTACCATATTTTTAAATGAAATTTACCAATATAATTTTCATTTCTATAATTATGATAAGATTTTCAATGAAATTCACTTCTTATTTTATAAATCAAATCGATATTTTATCTTGACTCTGGAAGTCACACGGCAAGTCATTTTCCTTTGAATATAATCCTGCTTTGTCTAATGCGACGTCGATCTAACGTAAATAACGTAATACAGTTACTTTTTTTTTATATTTTATTTTTAAGCGAATGCACTTATAGCACAATTGATGAACTCTAATCATCGAAAGAATGAAAAAAGGAAACGTATAATTTTCAAGATTTTGTAATTAACTGACAACGAGGCACACATCTATTCACTGGGGGGAAAAAAAACTATGAAACCATAGAATTATAATGAATAAAAGAATAAAAAAAATTTTTTTAAATGACAGCCTCCACTAACTCGGTAACTTTTACGTCCACACAAACAATGCGCTTATCCCGTATACAGGCCCTTCGAACACATGATATATCCGCTTAATTTACCCTGCAAGGTCACAGCTAGAAGGCCCAATAAGAGGCCCGCGATGAGGATCGCGGGTCGCATCCGCGAGCACGTCATAATGTCAACGTTTCGTACACGCGACAACACACACACTAATATCCCGGCAACGGCGAGGACTGGCGGTTGCTTGGCTAACACTGCCGGCGGCAATCAGCAGATTGAAAAAGACAAAGATACACGAGAGTAATAGATAGAGACAAATGGCGATATAAGCTGAGAGAAAGAGAGAGAAAGAGAGAGAAAGAGAGTTCGGGCGAGTTGCCCACCGAAACTGTTTTGCCGCCGCAAAAAGCGCCTGAGACGTAAATTCTTCGTCCTCTTCACGCCAAACTGATGTTTGATGCAAGCCGCATGTATATATATATATATATATATATATATATATATATATGTATATGGTATATAAACGAATGGAATCTTGGTTGAGAGCGAAAGAGAGAAAGGTGGATGTTAAGCTGGAGAATCGTTAGCTGCACTCATCCCGTGACGATTCGATACTGGATTTTCCAAACTTTTTCCCAAAATGCTACAATTCCCGTAACGACAAGCTACTATTCACATAGGCAATTATCAAAATTTCTTTCTCCCGTGCCGTCAGCTCCTTCTCATTTAATTGCGCTTCGGCTTTTCTCTCTGTCTACGCTTTTAACATTCGCTTTTCTATTTATTGCTCGCATGCTGCCTGCCTACGGCATAAGACGTCTCTTGACGCGAAGCTCTTCCGCGGCCAGGGTAGACACACGTAACGGACGACTTTGCA